CCTCCTCCTCCTCCAGCTCCTTTTTGTTTTTAGTTGCAGGTGAACAAAACAACATAGTGACCAGACATTCCTATACCTCACAAAGCGATCACCCCTATAATTCTGTTACCCTCCCTGACGCCTCACAGTTATTAGAATATTATTGACTCTGTTCCCTGTGCTGTACGTTCCATCCCGTGACTATTTTGTAACTGCCAATCTGTGTTTCCTAATCCCTCCCCCTTTCCCACCCAGCCCCAACCCTCCCACCTGGCGACATCAGTCCAGGGCGCTTCTGATGCCCGTGAAGGTTCATTTCCTGAGTCATGCAGAGATATTACTCTGCTGTTAGGTTAAATAAGCACAAAGTTTGTGGGCCTCTCTCCTCACTACCACCGCCCTAAATATTTTACCCACTGGAAACAAAAACTGGAAAAATTCTTACATTTAAGAGAACGCTGGGACATCATTTATTACGCTGGTCATTCCAGTGCTACCACTGTCATGAATCAGAGCTTCCCGGCTCATTCCCAGTGATGGCAGAGGAAAAAACAGAAGCAGGCTCGCTGTCTAATTCCTGGATAAAAGCGTGGGTTCTCTGGGTTAGCCCGGCCCTGTGCAGGGGACAGCCGAGGGGACGGGAAGGAGCCCTGAGCTTGTAGTCCATCGGGCTCAGACCCCGGTCACCACCCGTGATGGTGTGTCCATCAGTGCAGGATGATGCGCCACAGTCCCATCAGTTCAGCGCCCAAGTAGCGGGGCTGTGGATGGAACAAGATGGCGTAGTTGCTAAACACCACAATGAGTTAACCTCCCCGGGGAGACTTACAGCATTCGTCACCTTAATGTCACGTGGCAGGTGAGCTATGATCCTTCAGAGGGGACCTTTGGAGAGAAGATGGTGGTTAAAATAACCTGTAGTACCCTAACCCTGGTAAAGACTTGTCCAGTTCAGGCCATCTGAGAAAATCTGTGTGGTCTTTTAATGAATGAAATGTGGTCTTCACCACCACGCAAGGATGTACTTGTATGTGTTGTTCTTCTGCCCTCAATATACCCGCAGAGTATGCACAATAGTCTATTTCTGTGACTGCAGTTAGTACCCACTGGGTTTTTACATCCCTTGCAGCTGTGCATTTACGATATATTTAGGGAAATAATTTGAATCATCCTGACTTTGAAGCTGGGGGATAATTTGGGGATGCTCCCCAACCTGTCCCCCTAAGGCTAGTTCAGAGGAAGCTGCTGGAGGGTCATTCCCAACCAGTGCTGGCCGGTGCGTGGTGACAATGAGCCTGCTTGCCGCAGGGCTGAGACAGCTGAAGACTTCTGTGCTGGGAAATCCGAGATCTCGACACTGACCTTTCCGCACAAGGGAGGCTTCATCCACAGGGAAGTCTGCGTTTGTCAGGTGCAGACCCAGAGCTACCGAGAGGCAGCCCCGTTTTCTCCTGTTGCATTTGGTTATTTGTTGCTGACTTTTCCAGTCAATAGAGTAGACGTGATACTCTTAGAAAACTGGCCAATGGCACATGGAACCAAGGAGATTAGACAGACTGAAAGCTGCAGTTTTCAAACTCTGTAGGTTGCTTCCGCTGGGCCAATACTCATGCGATGCCTGCTGCACTCACTCCTTAGTGATGTGCAGACTTCAGCTTTCCCGATTGCAAACACGTGACTTCCAGACAGCGATGGCTCTTAACAACCTCCCCTCCTACCAGAGGTCCCAACTCAGTCCTCAGGCCGTTGCCCTGTTCTTTGGGGCCGGGGGACATGGCTGAACAGGCACAACTCAGTCAACACCAAACAGCTGCCGTGTTTAGGGTTTTGTTTCTAGAGTTTCTCGATTAGATGGTGTTTAAGGGAGTTATGTGACTAGAAACTGAAAATGACTATCTAGGACACAACTTCCTTTCCGAAAGAGAAAGGGAGCAGCTCAGGGTGTGTGGGGAGAGCTGTGATGGACAAGGTGTGACCTTGTGGGACATGGATTAGCTGGCTGTTGTGTAAGACAGATTGTCTCAAAACTCAGTGGCTTGAAACAGCAGCAAACATATTGGGTTGGCGGAGAAGTCATGACTCATTTTTGCAACAAAAAACACAGAAAAAAATACATCATGACTTTTCCGACAACCTTATATCATCACGACAGTTTCTGTGGAGCAGGGACGGCTCAGAGTCTCCTGAGGGACAGTGGAAGCCATCCAACAGCGCCCAAGCTGGTTTCCCCCTCAGCTACAGCATTTTCATCTTTTAATCACTGAAATGTACCAAAGCTTGGCAGCATTCGACCCAAAGTAAGAACAAACGTATATGGAGAAATGAGTCAACACACCGTTTGAAGGTTCCACGGCCACTTTCTTCCTTCCAGCTAGTGCCTGATGCCTGAAGTTCCCTAAAGTCCATCTTAGCCCTAATGGTCATGTTACACTTGAATTGCAGTTTTCTGTGTCATCTGTCTAGCCAAGAGATCTTGGAATTATTTTTAAAAACATTTTTAGACCTGTCAGAATTGTTTTCAAGATGCATTCTTGCACTGGCACCTACTCCTGCTCGGCAGTTCTACTTACTGTCCTTTTACTATTCACTAGACTCATGAGGCTTCGAGGAAAAGACTTCCCCCAGTGAAACATGCACCTGCAGCAAATACACTCAGAGACGGGGAAAACGAAACAGGAAAGAAAAGACGCAAAATGGGTTCACTTTCCCTAGACGTCCACTGTGGGTTCATGGAGGCCTCCTAATGCCCCCTCAGACCTGTGTGCTCGGGCTGGTGGCACCCTCCACACGCCGGCCCCACACCCGTTAGTGAGGCCGTTTCATTCGCGCTTCTCGTTTGGCGAGGGCAGCACGTGTTCAGCTGTCGCTGTTTCTAGACACTCGCTCTGTTCTGTGGGTTCTGTGGTGCTTCCTGCTCTTGAGCGCGGGAGCCGTGCTGCATCCGTGTTCGTGACACCCCTCACACCCAATCCAGGGCCTGGATGAAAAATCCTAGAACAAACTTGGTGCCCTGCGAACTGAATAGTAACACTGACTCTTATGTTAAGATAAAAGTAATTTTATATGCTCACTTCAAGTCATCCAATTGATGAATCCTCATTTGTCAATTTAAACTTAGTTTTCAACTCAATTTATAAAATAGTGATTTTGTAAAAATCTGTGACTACCTGATAATGTTACAATGTTACCACAGTAAGTGCTGTGTGTCTTGTTTGTCACCGTTTCCAGTGATGGCCCAGTCACCAGTGGCTGGGTTTTAGCAAATAATTGAATAAATAAATGTGAGAATGAATGAATGATAGAATTTCAGAATGGCTCTAAAAATAAGATGTTCGGTATAAACCATGCTGCTTCAGTCAGAACGTTGAAATGTAGATTTGTTTTATTTTCAGTCAGATTTGCAATCTCTCCTAGCATTTGCTGGAATGAGTAACAATTTACACCTTTAAAGTTGCTGATTAACCTCTGTGCAGATAATGGCGGTCTGTTTAAATAGTTTATGAGTTGGTACATACAGAAGATACTATATAAATATTATTTTACATGTTTACTCTATATAGTGAGAATTCCATATGTTATACAATATATAGATATTAAAATACTAAATATCTTTAGTTTAACCCAGTGTCAGGTGCTAAGAAATGTGTATCTCTGGTACTGAAATGAAGACAAGAAATGAGGCAGGTGTTCTATATCTTTTTCTCTTCATTCTTTCGTACGTTGTGTGTGGGGATTGGTTTTACAGCGGTAAATACATGCGTTACTTCTTCAATGTGAAGGTATGCTGTTTGTCACCATTTCAAAGGCCATCTCCTAGCATTCCCTCTTTCCTTGTCCTATCCGCGTCCCCGGTTTAAACTTCACAGATGACTGACGATGTCTTTTTTGTTGTCCTCAGAATGGCTTCACTCCCCTGTACATGGCTGCCCAAGAGAACCACATTGATGTTGTAAAGTATTTGCTGGAAAATGGAGCCAACCAGAGCACTGCTACCGAGGTGAGGCTGCTGGTCCCAAGCGTCCGTCATCCCCATGCCCAGCTGCACAGGGCCTGCCACCTTGTCCAGAGCCTGCGGGGAACCTGGCGCTCCCTCTGTGGCCGGTTACGTGGCTGCTAAGGCACGCCGTGCGCACAGTCCACAAGCTAACGCTCTGACTTGGGGTTCACATCACAGCATTCTCACACGGAATCACACTCCCATCCATTTGCTCTTCTCTGGGGTGGGAGCTTTATACTTCTCAGGAAGCAGAATACATGAATCCTGCCTGTCTCTTCCCACCATTTTATTTTCTTAAAGATCCCAAGCAGTTCCTTCCAGGCACGATTTTCGTGACCAGAAAGGACTCGTAGGTGTTCGTGTTAACACAACTTTATGGGGACTATGTTACCAAAAAAGCTGGTCACGTTTCACGAAGCACAAATGATGACATGTGTGTGTGACTGGTCACGGCCACCACAGAGCAGACCATGCAGTCACTCCCTTGTCAGACACTCTGGACGTGAGGTCACAGTGGTTCACCATCCACATCACGCCCCTTCGCTGCTGTGCCCTCGACGGCAGGGCCCTGAGGTTTCCTCCTGAGTTCGGCCCCGGCAGGTTGAGGAGCAGATTTTTCAGGGTTGCTCCAGAGGCTGGTGAGCTTGGAGACATGCCGCAGGGGCCACTGGAAGGCCGGGGTGGGAGACACGGGCGGGACAGAAGACGGTCCCCCTGGGACAGGCCGCCCTCGCCACCCCAGCCGCACATGCAGGCTTCGTCTCTCCTGGTTTGTGATCTGTGGCTCCATGAGAAAACGTTGAAACTCCTGACCTTAAGTGAAAGGCCGCTGGTGTGCAAGGTCAGTCAGAAACTACCGAGATGATTTTCAGTGTCTAACCTGGCTTCCTTGCTGGAAAATTAAGTCCTTAGGTTAGAGTCCTGTATGGGGGGACAGGTCATTACAATCTGGTAAATCCATGTCCATTCCCTTTGGGAGAACACTCTAGGGAGTCAGTTGCAGTAACTTTCTGATAGATTATTCTTATTAGTTAAAAAAACGCCAAGAAATTGCTATTAGTGGGACCGTGTTTTGGACAATGCCACTGTGCAGTGTGAAGTGGCTTCGTGTTCTCTGTCCAGCACACACAGATTCCCACTCTGACCACATGGGCACAGCGTGGTTTTCATGATTGGGCCTTTTTTTCTGAGATGCTAATTCTATGGCTGAGTGTCATGCGGACATCTTCAGGCAAGCTCAAGTGAAATAGGAGACAATGGCTGTGCTTCAGAAGCTCTGAGACCTGCACCAAAAAGAGAGGACGTGTTTGTTTTCCTGTATTTCCTTTAAATCAGAATAATTTACCTAAAGAAACCCTGCACTGCACAGTTCTTCCCTCACCACACTTACCCTCGCGTGTGCTTTGGGGAAACCTGGCCGCCTCCTGGCCCCTCCCATGTGGACCTGTCACGTTTCAGTCTGGTCCCCAAATACCCGTTTATGTGCCTTGTGGCGGCAGGGGCCACGTTACCCTGAGACTCAGAAAATTCCCCACTCTCCTCCCCAAATGTTACCCAAGTGGCTAAAAACTTTATAATTAAGTCTGTGTTGTCAGCAAATGCCCGCCTCTAAGAAAAAGCAGAGTTCACCCTCAACACAAGTTGTCGCTGTGTCCCTGAGGGCAGGACATTAGACGCGCACAGGTGTGCGCTGTGTGACGTCACCCTGAGGTTACTATGGGTTGTCGCCGTGGACACCCTGACGTCAGCACGAGACTCACGTACTGGCCGCCGTGTTCCAGGTGCTGGTGGTGCTCGGTCACAGACGCGCACGGCGCTGCCGGAGCTGGGAAGCCGCTGGGGGCCGGGCCTCTCGTCCCACACGTGCGTCTCTGGCACAAGGGCTGTTTGAGGCTGGTCATTTTACGAAGCAGCAGACACACGGTAGAGGTTATGAAAGCTGAGGAGAAGGTCCCCCCTGTAAAAGACGTCACTGGGAGGGCACTCTCCGCCTGTGACACCCCCAGGCTGTACCAGAGACAGGGTGACCTCATCTCTAGGAACGCTTATCAGTGAGAGGCAAAGTCTCACCTGCGTAACTACCCCGTCTCCCCGACCCGGCCTGCCCACCTCCCATGTGGGCATCTCCTTCTCGCTCAGCTGAAGGTGAGGTGTAGGGGTGGCTGCAGCCACTTTAGCGAGTTACTCAGGGTTCCTGGGGAGACATGGTCCAGAAGACTAACCTGCTGTTTTGCTCCTGCTAGTGTGTCTCTTATGACAGGGGTCTCAAAGAAGCCAGAGGGTGAGAGGACCATTGTTCTTCCTGGTGTGCCGTGGGCTGGACCCCACAGCCGGGTGTGCCGTGGGCTGGACCCCACAGCCGCGTGTGCCGTGGGCTGGACCCCACAGCCGCGTGTGCCGTGGGCTGTGCCATCCAGGTGTGTGTGAGTGCTCTCCACGACACTCACACAACGATGAAACCACCTCACGACACCTGTCTCAGATGCATACTTGAGACGGAAGCCGGTCATTAGGGCGTGCATGACTGTATATGATAACTGGCCTGTTGCCTCCATCACAGAGCACTTAATTTGTGCCAAACTTCTAAATTTAGGTTACTGTTTTTCTTCTTAACTAGACTATATGCTTTACCCTTCCATTCTATTAATGAATGTGCTTATTTAAAATTCTATTCTTATTAAAAAATTCAGTTCTTACTGTGGTAGTACATATATAATATGATACATTTGGGGGAAATGACCTTCCCATAAAAGTCTACAGTTATGGTGGAAAAAAAAGATGTTTCATGCAAATAGAAACCAAAGGAAAGCTGGGGTAGCTATATTTAGATCAGACGAAACAGACATTAGAACTCAGACTGTCATGGACATTACATAATATTAAAGGGGGTTCATCCAACAAGAAGATACAACGTTTGTAATATTTATGGACCCAGCGTAGCAGCACCTAAATGTATAAACAAATCCCAGCAGACCTAAAGGAGAAATCGGCAGCAGCCCCATAACAGTTGGAGGTTGTGACCCCCACTTCCGTCAGTGAGGAAACCAGGCCATGGCGTGTGCGGCCAACGGCTGATCAGAGCCCACTTTCATCTTCCCAGTAACGTTGACTCCTTTTGCTTTGCTTGTCAGTCTTAATCGTTACTGTAAACATCACACATGCCATTGCTTGCGGTTGAACCCCAAGCCTGCGACAGGCAACGGGTGCTTTTCCTTCTTGTGCTGCCCCAGGACGGCTTCACGCCTCTGGCCGTGGCGCTGCAGCAAGGGCACAACCAGGCCGTGGCCATCCTGCTGGAGAATGACACCAAAGGGAAAGTGCGGCTGCCCGCCCTGCACATCGCCGCCAGGAAGGACGACACCAAGTCCGCGGCCCTCCTGCTGCAGAATGACCACAACGCCGACGTGCAGTCCAAGGTAACGCTGGATGCGCCGTGGGAGGGGCCTCGTTCTGGGGGACGCCGGGTGGGCCGCGTGGTGACACAGCTGCTGAGGGGATTGACAGAGATAAATCACTTTCAGAGTGTCTCAGAAGGAAGGGGACTGCCCGTGGGGATGGTAACAAAAAAGTTAAAGAGCCTTTTCTGCCAAAGATGAGGTCCAGCTTGTTAGACATCTGCTTCTTCTGTTTATAGTAAAATAGTGTAACTGAGTTAGAAAGAGAAGCTTGCACTGTGCAGGTTTATGGGTCTTCTGGGTAGACCCCACGCGGGCACGTGGGAACAGCATCCAGCCGCAGTGAGCGGGGGGGCTGTGTCCTTGATTGGCAATGTGTAATATCTTCCCTCTTTTTCCCACACAACACTGCTTCAGATGATGGTGAATAGGACAACCGAGGTACAGTATTGTGGCTATACCAACATTTGCCTTCTTTTTATTTGTTTCAGTTTTTTGCCCAATTGGAATAAATGCTCACTAATTTATACTAATGACTGGAACTTCCATTATTAGGAAGTTAATTTGGAAACTTTTTCCATAATTAAGGGAAATGGATAATTCAAGAAATGTAATGAAACTTATATTTGAATGTAACATATATTGAATGTAACATGTTGAATCTGTGAAATACTTAAGTAGCTTATCCGGTGGAGCATGGAAAGTAAGGCTCCGTTAATCGGAGGCGTCTCCTCACTGCGGAAGCTTGACTGAGAGCTCTTTGCCAGTATGAGACGCGACTCTCTTGTAATGAAGATTCTCAGGTTAGAGTTTAGCAAATTAAAACTTAAGGTTTCTTTGCCACTGCTTTAATCTTTCATCTAATTAAAGTTGCCCCTTTTTATGTATGTTTTTTAACCACAGTATATATAATCAATAATGATACAGAGCGTATCCTGAGCAAAGCATTTCCTTTTATCTTACTATGTCTTATATTACTTGTCATGAAATTATTTCTTTTCCACATACCAGGAACATTCAGGCCAGAGGCCTCTTAGTATAGTGTGTGAGTGTGTGTGAGTGTGAGTGTGAGTGAGTGTGTGTGAGTGTGTGTGAGTGTGTGCGTGCGTGCGTGAGTGTGTGTGAGTATGTGTGTGAGTGTGTGAATGTGTGTGCGTGAGTGCGGGTGAGTGAATGTGAGTGAATGTGCATGAGTGTGCGTGAGTGCGAATGTGTGTGAGTGTGTGTGAGAGTGAGTGAGTGAGAGTGTGCGTGCGTGAGTGTGTATGTGTGCGCGTGTGTGTGTGTGTGTGAGTGAATGTGAATGAGTGTGCGTGAGTGTGTGTGAATGTGTGTGAGTGTGTGTGTGTGTGTGTGTGTGTATGCACGTGTGGTGCTCTCTCCTTGACCATTGCTACTACCTAGACACACTAGCACAAACACTGTTGAAATATAGTATAAAAATGAGTCTGTATTCCCAGGCCAGTAGCTATTTCTGTAGGTTGATTTTCACTTTGACTGACATCTCATCCAGCCTCTGGGTTGTGGACCCGCGGGGATTTTAAACACTTAGTGTTTACTGAGAGTAGTGTGTTTCTCTAATATCATCTTGTTTACTAACAAATTTACCCACTAAGTCGTGATGTATTTGGATTATCCATATCACTTCTCTGGTTCCATCTCTGTGCACGGAGCTTAGGTCCGAGGTTCAAAAAAAGGCCCATCTGCTTCGGGAAATTGCTCGAGACTGGGACCACACGAATTGATACCTTAATTACGGATTTTAATATGTTTAGTTTTTTAGCTGACTTTTGGTGATTGTGTAAGATACATTTTTGGAAACAATATTGGCTCTAAACATTGTGTTGAAAGCAGCAGTTCGGGTAGATTGGTGCTGAGTTAGAAATATTTCTTTGCGGACAAGTGAGTGACAGGGATCCCCCTCCGGGGCTGGTCCTGGAGAAAGGGAGCTGAGCCTGCACCCCAGGCTTCCCCCCAGGGAGCTGCCGGCCGGGCTGTATCAGACCATAAGTGAGTGTATTTTTGCAAATGAGGGGGATAATGTTATTATATTTGAATAATCTGAAAAAGATTCACAATCACTATGTTTTCTATCATTAAATTATAAGTTGAATAATAGACACGCTTCAGGATATGTCTGGGTGACAGGAACTATCAAGGTAAAAATGAAAGACATGCTGTCAGTCAGTCCTAACTTAGAAACACTGGCTGTTTTATACGCTATCAGCTGGTAGGAAACCAGCCTTCCCTCTATTTTGACATGAGTGTGTGGCATCATGTAGACACCATATGAAAAGCGCCTGACTATGGCCATGGGGTTCGGGGAGCAGTCACTGGCCTTCTTCTGTGGCCTGCTTCTCTGCAGGTAGAAGCTGTCTGCAGCCAATTTGACCGACGGCACAGAGGAATTTCTGTCACTTAAGGCCTCTGGGAGCTTAGTTAGGCCGTTGTCTAGACCAGGGGTCGCGAGCCACATGCGGCTCTTTGGGTACGTTCTGACTCAAAAGTTTGCCGACCCCTGGAAAAGCCAATCCTGTCCCTCACAACAATTTAAAAGTTATTTGAGAGCCATAAATATATTTTTACATAATCACTATTATATGACTAATATCCTTTAAAAGTTTTATAAATGAAACTATGATAGTTTTATTTTCATTTTCAATTTTACTTCAGAGCCACATGTATGTATCCAGAGAGCCGCATGTGGCTCGCGAGCTGCGGTTTGCCGACCCCTGGTTTAGACAAAGTTACCAAAACCTACAGATCAAGTAAATAGAAAAGTAATGGTTGTGATTTACATAATATTTCTTAAAAACTAGTATCACATCAGAGTTCATTTCACACAGAGAGCAGTACAGAATCACCTCACAACGGCAGGTCTGCTACCAGTTTGCTAGGAACAGCCATGATTCCTGTAACTTTTTATTAAGTGATGAATTTAATAAAATTACAGAGCAAGAATAATACATTTTTGTATACTTTAATAATAAAAGTTAATACCCTATTGTGAAAATGGCAAAAAATTCAAACTAATTTTTCATCAAAAAGAGAAATAAAAGGAAATATACTTTTCCTCCATTTGCAATTTTCACTCATTTTTAAACATTCTGAGTCACCGTTCTCTAATGCCCATATAACAGATTTAACCTGCTTATTTTATGTTATACCGGTCTTATTTTATTGACAAAATTTGATTTAAATAACATTAAAAGTTGGGCTCAGCTGGATTTTTTCTTTTATAGTCACATTGATGCCAAATGTATTAATTTTTGTTTTTTAACTTTTTTTCATTATAACAACATAGTCTGACCAAACACAGTTGTTGAAGAGGACAGAGATAGCAGACAGTGTAAATGATGAGACATGAACTGTACATCCTCTGTAAGCATCACTCACAGTGTTTTCATAGTTCCAAAGAAACAGCGCCAACCACTGCTGTTAATCATTTTTTTAAAAAGCATTAATTTTGTGTCTTCTTCTGAAGAAAACATTTTTTATTCATAATTATGTTATTCCTGTGGCTAAAGCCTGATATTGTTTAATTATATTGTTTTTCTCTAAAGCTAAACCAATTCAAGAAACATGGTTTTGTATAAATAACAAACTGATAAATAGATAAATCATTAGGGTAATTAGAAATAATGTTGCCAAGAAACATAGGATATTATTTACCTGTGTATACATTTAGTTATTTACTGCCTCGTAGCACTAAGATGTAAGTCTTGTTAAAGCATTAATTACCTGGACTGCTCACGCCTCAGGCAGACAGGCACCACGCACATGGCGGCCTCACCGGCCTGGTGACTGTGGCACTGCAGGTGGAATGCTTTACGGCGCCGTTTCCTTTGCTTTCCAGAGTGGCTTCACCCCCCTGCACATCGCTGCCCACTATGGAAACGTCAACGTGGCGACTCTGCTTCTCAACCGGGGAGCTGCGGTGGACTTCACGGCCAGGGTACGGCGCGAGCACTTGCATTTCAGATGGCGGTAAACGGGCACTTCACTGTGGTGACAATGACACCAGTGAAGGTTGTATTTCTTTTTTCTTACCTGGACCTGTGCTAGAGATATTATTAGACTTTTCTTTTTTTCCTTTCTTTCTTTCTTTTTTTTTTCAAATTGTAGATATTATCACGAGCCAACCAGTGAAAAATGAGGTTGTTTAAATTCACATGCACACAGATCATTTGCAGGCATTAGGGAGGACGTTAATTCTGACATCCGTTTGAGCAGTTATAAAGATCACACTGTGAATTATGAATGAACAGCTTTCAGTCAATAACTAAGCTGTTAAAACATTAAGCATAAAATGTATACGTACATTTATACAATGTGATTATAGGGCACGCAATTTGACGGAATTTCTTTTAATGAAGTGAGAATTTGCTTATATAAAGAATCTCACCAAAATACGTAGAGAGACAGCATGTTGTGTTATATGTTTCATGGGATGCTTTCATTGAAAAGATTCACTGGCATGATAATGACAAAGCTCAGTATATTCAGAAAGGATGCCTCGCGGCTCACGGGCACCAAGGTGGGCGGAGAGGTGGCATTGCAGGGACACGTACAGTCGGAACCAGGAATGAAGGAAGCTCCAACCGGGGTCAGTGGGAATTGTAGCAAGAAATGGGATGTCTCAGCATTGCAGCGTGTAGTGTTCACTGCTAAAATGGACTGGGATGGGACAGTTCCAGTCAGGCAACTACGAAGTGTTCTTCTCTGGACATGACAAACTCGGAGGAAACAGAGTGACTTTAATTCTGAGGCTCTGGCAGTTAGGGCCACAGTGCAGGTCTGACCGAATGACATCCATCAGACTCCCAGGAAAACCGGTTTCCATAACCATCATTCAGGTCTGTGCTCCAACTGCAGAGGCTGAAGAAGATGGAATTGATTCTACACAAACGTCCAAGAAGAGATTGATCGCACACCAATAACCTAAGACTTGCTGGTAATTATAGGCGATTGGAACACAAAAGTGGTAATAAAACAGGGTCAGATATAGTCAGAACATTTGGACGAAGGGTCAGAAATGTCAGGTCAGCTTGTGGATTGCTGCAAAGCCGACAACCTGTCCGTCGCAAACACGTGCTTCAAACAACCAGAAAGACGACTGTACCCATGGACGTCACCAGATGGCCGGCAGAAATGAAATGCACTGAGTAACGGGGCGCAGGAGAAGCAGCAGCTGTGTTCCCTTTGGCCTCACAGGCCAGGAGTGGACTGTCGTGCTGACCACGAACTCTTGGCACCGAACATGAGCGTAAAGCTGAAGGAGACCGCTGCAGACATCGGGTGCCAAATGTAACGCAGTAGCATTCCTGGTGGGTTAAAGGCCACAGAAAAAGCAGATTTGCCCTGTTAACTGACTGAAAACCAGAGCTGTGGACGGAAACTAGAAATACTATTAGGGAAGGATGCGAAAAGACAATGCGAGAAGTGAAAAGGAAAGAAAAACCAAGATGGATGACAGAAGAAACACTAAAATTGAGGAAGGGGCAAGAGGCAAAAGTTACAGGTGACAATAGCAGGGTTAGACTCCTGAATGCAGATTTTCTATGACTAGCACGTAGAGATAAAGAGAACTATTATAATACTCAGTGTAAGAAGATGGAAGAGAACAAAAAAGGAAAAACAAGGGCTCTCTGCCAGAAGATTCGAGAAATAAAAGGAAATTCAAACCTAGACAGGAACGCTGACGGGCCAACGAGGAAGCTCATTGTCTGACCAGGAGGAAATGAAGGGAAGGTGGAAACGGACCCTGAAATCTGTACAGAAGAGAAGGAAGGATGACAGGTGCCTTTGGAGAAGGTCATTAGGAGGAATAGCCCATTATTCTAGAAAATGAAGTGAAAGTTACCCTGAAATTTTGGGAAGAAATAAATTACCAGGGATACTGACAGAATTATTACAAGCCACAGGACGAGTCTGTCAAAATCCTAAGAATATGCCAACAAATAGGGAAAGGAGACATTGACTAGTATTGGAAGCGTCCAGCACACACCCGTCTTCAGAAAGGACACGCCGGGAGCGCAGTGACAAGGACCATTGCTCCGGCTCCCCACGCAAGTAAGTGACGCTCCAGGTGGCGCAGCGACGGCTTCCCCCTTCTGTGAGGATGAGGCGCGGCGTTCACGCTGGTTCAGAAGCAGGAGGCCCCGGGTGTGACGCCCACGGTGGGTGGGGACTGCAGTGCTCCAGCGGACGGGTGTCCGGAGGAGGTCGGTGTGTGTCTTAGAGACATGGCGGAGCCTTCGGCTGCGTGGACCAGGAAAAGCCGTGGGCTGCTCTGAAAAAAACGGGCGTGCCCCAGCGCTTGACCGTCCTGACACGTAACTTGTCTGTGGACAGGAGGCCACTGTCAGGACAGACTGTGGAGAGACAGCATAGTTTCCTCCAGGCAAAGGTGTCAGACAAGGGCGCATTTTATCTCCCAGAACTGTCTGTACCAAGAACTTACAATATGAAAAACGGGGCTAGACTCAGAGCAAGGAGGAGTGAAAATTGGTGGAAGGAGTATCAGTAGGGTTAGGGCTGGGGTTGGGGTTAGGTGTGTAGATGACACCATATGAGTGGCAGAAGTTAGCAATGATTTGAAACGACTTCTGCTGCAAGTGAAAGAAGAAAATGACAAAGCAGGGCTGCATTTGAACCTCAAGAAGACAGAAGCCATGGCTACAGAAGAAATACAGGACAGCAGCACAGACAACGGGGACACTGACACTGTTCACGGCTGTGCTGACCTTGGTTCCGTCATCGGGTCAGAAGGAGATGCAGCCAAGAAATCCCGAGAAGGCGGAGACTCGGGGCAATGATGGAAGAACCAGGAAAGGTCACCGAGAGCACACACGTGTCACTGGAGACCCAGGCTGAGACCACCCAAGCCCTCCTGTCCCCAGTTCCTGGGTACGGATGCAGAATCTGCCCAGTGAAGAAGGCTGAGATTTCAGAAAACCTGATGAAGATGAACCATTGGGTCCTGGAGCAGAGTAAGCCTGACACACGGCTGGAGGCGAAATGACACCAAGCCATCTTACCTCAGGTGCATGGTGACAAGGCAGGGATCTCTGGAAAGGACAGTGATGCTGGGAAATAGAACGCAGCAGCGGGAGGGAGGGAGACCAGACATGAGATGGACAGACTCCATAAAAGAGGCCGTAGGCTGAGCCCCCAGGAGCCGAGCAGGGCTGTGAGGACAGGACACTGGGGACGTCACTCATTCGTGGGGCCCCCAGGAGCTGGAGCCAACTCAAGGGCACGTAACACACACATGCTTAATACAAATCAGTAAATACAATATTTAAATATTTGCAAAATTAAGACGTAAGAAAATCAGGTACATATCCTTGCCATAATGATGACATGAGCTAATAAAATAAATATAATTCATGTATACGGTGTTTTTATCCTTTGAAGTTTTCTGTACTGAAGCTATGTTGGGTTATTTTCAAGCTGTTTTTCATACTGAATTATTCTGAAGAAGGTGTTTTTAAGAATCATTTTTCCATTGGGCATTGGTATGTATACGAGTATTTGTATTTTATTTTTAAGCATGGGAAACTAAGACCTCAATTCTTTACGTGCGTGGGTGTCAGAGAAAAAAGAGGGACTTTGGACCACGGTTCTGTCCTTGGTCGAACCTGGAGTGGGGCTTCTACCCTGAAAGGGCTCCTTTTGTCTTTTGACGGTAACGTTTTGTGTCCGTTCCTTACGTACTCTGGGCTATTGCCTTAGTTATGCAGTTTTAGTTCGTTTTTTATTCTCTGACTAAAGTGCTTTGTGGTTTGTATGCTTCTTCTGTTCCTTACCAAGTGAAGACCCTGAGACGCAGAAACGTGGATCAGGCTGCTGCGTGGGCCCCGGCGCCCCGAGCCCTGTCACACCCTCAGTGCCCTGTTCTCTCTCCTCCGCAGAATGGAATCACTCCTCTCCACGTGGCCTCCAAACGGGGGAACACGAACATGGTGAAGCTACTGCTGGACCGTGGTGGCCAGATCGATGCCAAAACCAGGGTGAGTGTCCCCCCACGGCGGCGTTTTGTATTCCTTTATGTAGCAGGCATCCTGAAATGCCAGTCCCCAACACATGCAGTGCCTTTTCAGGGCGGTCGTCTTCTTGGATTTGATTTAAACCTCAGACAGTATCGAAAGGTTTCACGTTGCAAAGTGGAATTAATGTTTTCTCCTAGGTATCCGGAGAAACAACACAACCTCTCCGTGAGACAGTTTTTCAGGTCCTGCCTATTGCTTTTCTGGGAACAAAAACCAAGGCTAGGTCTCCTGCGTTTCTGGTTTGTTTGGTCGTAGGTATCGGGAACCCAAACTCATTAGCGTACATTAAGCCGCGAGAGGGTGGCTTTTACTTAAAATATTTTAATACACGTTGAAAATGTTTTGCTTCTACCTTTTCAGTTTCTAGGTCATTTTTCTTAAGTGGTTATGCTACGCTGACCAGAGCGGGAGGTCAGAGGTTATGCTTATGGAAGGAAGGCGTACACTTGTTATGCTGCGTGTTTACTCAGGCCAGCTTCGTAAGAGGCAGGGCCCTTTCTTTATTCATTTCAAACGTGTGAAGTAAAATACAGTTCAGACTTTTCATGCATTTCCAACAAATCGATAATAAGAGGCAGGTGAATGCAGCTGTTAGACGTGCAGACTCTCAAGGCAGACCACCTGATTTCAGAGTCGCCCTGTCCGCTACCAGCTGTGTGATATTGGCCGTTTACTGACCATCTCTGAACTTCGGCCAATAACAGTACCTAACTAGTGGGGGTTTGTGAGAATTAACTCTTAGATATTATGATTTATCTTTTTTAAAAGTGAGGTGGGTAAATTACTGAGCTCCTCGTAATTTTTGATTATGACACCAAAATTATATTCAGTTACTTGCATAAACATTAAAATAGTAATTCAACGTCAGTTCTCTGGAGTGGATTTGGTTAATCCTTGACCTCAGCAAAACTTTAAACGTTCCTATAATATGAAAATTCTGAAATGTGCGGTGTAAGAAGTCTGTGGAGATAGCAATAGACTGTGTCCCTTGTGATGTTTCATTGTCACTTTGCTTACTTTTGGGAGGTGTGTTCCCCAGAGTAAGGCGGAAATCCAGGGGATCCTTTGCAAACCCTGAGGCTGGCAAGTGTTTGGCTGAATAAGTCGAGTCATCTCTGCGGTCTGGTTTCTAATGACCTCAGGCAACGTGGCTTTCTTAATGTCTGTTCGCTAAAGACGCTTGACGTCACGCGATCCCGGGAGCGCCCCCATGGCTCGCCGGTCTTTCCAGGGCGCGGGCGTGGTGGCCAGTGTCTCTGCGCCTGAGTTCTGCGTGTTTGCTCCCTTCTGCCGGGGTCACACCTTCCCGGCCTGGCGGGGGCAGAATTGGGAGCCGCTATGCGCTCCTCTGGTGCGTTCCTTCTGTTTAACTCCTTCAAGCACATAAGTAACGGATGTCTCCCTACACCCCTTCTGTTTCTAGTGAGAGCTCTAAACTTTGTGAGCACCAGTGTGAAGACAGCACTTGTAGAAGCAAAAACATTGTATCTTGCTCATGTGGGATTCACAATTGATCTTACTAAATGCTTCTCTGGAGGATCATTCATTATTGAGACCATTAACTTTTTCTCACTGATCATCACATTTGCTTAGTTCTTTAGAAGGTGCTCTAGTTTGCATGCCTACATGCACTTGCATATGTAATTTAAAAGTCTAACTCCAAACGAAGGCAGTGCATTTTCATAAACAGTACTAAGAACTGGATTTGTAGGCCAGTTCTGCCAGCAACCTACTGTCCTGGAACCAGGGAGCAATCTAAAGGAAGCTCGGTTCCTTCTGCAAAGGAAACGTTTGGCTCGTTTCGTCCCGTGTAGCACTCAGATACAGCAGGTACACAAATTCCATTCGAGTGTGTGTGCAGTGAGGATAGGTTCCTACCTGTGCACGCTGCGTGCACATTCTTTTCATCCACTGCTGAACAAATAGATACTGAGTTCCTGCCTGGAGCCGTGAACCCTAAGATACACCGCTGACAAGACAGACCAGGTCCCTGGACACACGGACGCGGTAGCACGCAGCACCCAGTGACTGGCGGAGCCGTGTGCTGGCAAACACAGCTAGCCATCAGCTCTCCCCCTCAAAAACGATAGCCTTTGCTGGTTTCCTGCCAGGATTACTTCCATCCTTCCTTTAGGCTGCTTAGAGCTGGGATGTGGTGTCACCGAGCACGGGATTGGGAAGAGATGCAAAACACCGGTGGGCACGAGTGTGTGTGAGCCGGCTCCAGCCCAGGGCTGGGTGCAGTGTAGACGCTGGCTCGGAGCTTCCCCATGAGTTAAAATACTTCCTCATCTCTAAGGGGTAGGATTCTAAAAGCAGTTAGGCTCTCGCACTTCTGGCTACAACTGAAGGACCTGTGTCCACGCCACGGCGAGATCCAGGTGGAGACAAACATGAAATCAAGGGCCGCGGTTGGAACTGGGAGGCCTGTTCCAGACCTGGAATACTGGATCATGAAAACGGAGTATGCTTTGCTTCTTCTCTTGTCCTTTGAAAATATAATTTAAAATACAAAAATGTTCCATCTGTTTTTGACTATCATTTTAGGTAATACAATAGAGCTTCTGTATATGGAATTAAGAATAATATAAATGTTATCCTTTATCAGAGGTCTCAATTTCCCCTAGCAATCAAATTAGCCATAAACATTTTGAATTTAGTATATTCTGTCAAGAATTGTCCCTTGTTATTCTCATTTGTAAGGTTTCCATTATCTGGAGAAGAGCAAGATACACAGATGTTTTGGGGTAATTTTAATTAATTAAACCTATCCACAGCTTCTCCCCCACTTTCTCAGCACTCTGTCAGTTCTTGAGACGTTTGCACCCCGACGTTCTCGTCATGGACTGCGATCCGGCGTGAACTCAGAGACGTTTTCACCAGTGCCCTGGTTTTCTGGTGTCTGGAAAACCTCGTGTTAATGTTAAAGCATAAACTTTTTAGCTAGTTAAAAATGACGTTAGTAATTCAGGGTTTATTAAGGACATGATTCTTTTTTAGTTTTAAACTTATTTATTATTTAAATGTGGAGATACTCCATGTAAGGTTTATGGTTAAGATATTGCAATACATATTAATGCAAACAATAAAAGTATACAGAAATAATAAAGGATGATGAACGGAAATCAGTACATCAGAGAAAGGGTTTCGCTCGGGCCTTGTTATTAGAAGTAACAAAGTGACAGCAGTAGTGGCCAGCAGTTGTCATGTGCATATGACGTCACGGGCACCCTGCGACATGTCCCACAGATGCCGTGTGACTTCTTTCCTGTCAACTCATGAAATGTGTTGTTTTCTTTTGAGAAAACGTGGAGGTCTCTATTTGAGACGTGGACTGCCGAGGGGACAAGCAAGTCCCCGAGCAGCCATGTGCGTGGGCCGAGGACACACAGCCTCGGCACTGGCACAGCCCGTGTCACACGCAGGCTTCAGGGCTGTCGCTGGAAGGACAGTCTGAGCAAGACGAGGAGAGAGATGGTGTCAGAAGCTGACGCTGTAGGTTACCAGCTGGCTCGGTGGGGACGGAGCTTCCCGTTTCAGAATCACCGACCTCATGGTGTGATTTGAATGGGTTCCAGGGAAGACGTAAAGGGAACACTTTTTGGAGGGGAAACAGCGCAACTTTCAGTCTTGAGAATTTAAGTTAAAAAATCCTTGACTACAGAACCTTGAGGATTTTTTTGAAAAAACAAGATGATGTACTTTGTAGAAAATACCCCCAATTCACTCAGATTGAGCAGTGCTGGGTGACTTGAATGTCATGGAATTCACAATCCTTTATAGGGCAGATCAACTGCATCAGTAAAATGTAGGATTTAGAACTGATTTAATCCTTATTGTTCTGTGACATGCTTGTGGGTTTATTACATGTTCTCCATATTTTCTTGTTGTTCTGAGTATTCTAGAGGTTTCCACATCGTCACATAATGAATATTTCAAGTAATCCGTGGAAAACACCTTTTCTAAAAATGACATAAAGCAGCACCATCCCCCAGCTGTCACACCGGCTGTGAGTGAAACGGGGAGGAAAGTCACGAGTGAAATGGGGAGGAAAGTCACGCCCGTTGTACGTGCTGTGACGCTGAGCCTCAGAGAGCCGCCCCGGGGGCTGAGCCGAGATGCGCCCCCAGGGCTCAGAGCCAACACGGGAGCCGCTGCCCAGAACGCTCTGTCAGCTGTGGACCAATCCTCCCGCTCGGGGCCTCAGCGAAGCCCCCACAGGAACGTGTGTCACATGACTCATGTAGCAGCTACGGTCCCACACCACAGGTCCTTTACCAAATGACGTGGCATCCCAGCCACCACAGTTAAGTGAGTTTTTGCTGGAAATGCAGTCTTTTTATGCTCATTCCCAAGCTTCCAGGTCTGTGTGGTTGGTTATTCAGGGTCCTGAGACTAGCCAGCCAGACTTAACAAGGCAAGAGGCATTATCAGTCCAGGTCCTGGCCGGAAACAGATGGCGCTCAAATCTGAGTATTTGAACAGGCACTCTTTTTTTTTTTTTTAAGATTTTTATTGGGGAATTGGGGGATGGGAACAGCATTGGGGAATCAGGGAAGGGGAACAGACAAGTTGCTGTTGTTTTGTTCCTCAGTCCAGTTGTGGAGGATGTTGCTTCACTGGCCCATGTTGGCACCATCATTGCACTCTTCCCGGGTGAGGGAGATCAGTCGCCGGCTTCTGGACGGCCGCTCACCGCGGCTGCTGGCTGCTCACGCTGGCTGTTGGCTACACACGGTAGCCCATGGCAACCCACTGCCACAGGGGCTGCAGCCTACGCCGTCGCCGGCGACTCATGGCAGCCCAGCTCCAGGTCGAGCTGTTGTTCAGCATCTTAGCTGTGGAGGGCAGTGTCACTGGCCCTCATTTGTGGGATCCGAACCAGGGCCCTCTGGTGTCCCAAGCCAGCTCTTAACCAACGCGCCACTCGGCGGGCCCTGAACAGACACTCTTAAAGGGCCTGTTTACAACTCTGAGGGTGGACTAGGGAAGGTACAGGGACCCAGAGTGCCCCTGGCGTTGGTAATGGCAGGGCAGGTTCCCATCCCTGACCTGAAAGGTGAGACGCAGGAGATGCTACTAGAACTTTAGGGAGAGAATGGACACAGGAGGCTGCTGTGGCCGTTGTGTGACCCGTGCAGAGACACAGCCAGACCTGGGAGACCTTCCCGTAGGCCAGCCAGCCCGAGCCAGCGGGCAAGGGGCCCGAGACGGGAGTCTACGGGACATGCAGCAGAACGGGCAGGCGGAGCGCAGGTCTGGGGGGGGGGCAACTGGAGGGTCTGATGTAGAAACCCCCAGATAGTGGATCTGCAAAGGCTGATGATACATTTATTAGGAAGAAAGCATAACCCAGAGAAAGAGACACACAGACGTGGGCCTTAGAGTTCTGGATAGATGACAGGCTCCGGGGTCCCCCGGCTGCTCACCAGCCCTCATGTTCCCGACTGCTGCCTGCGGTCTCACCCCTGTTCCCTGTGACACTCTTCATCTCTCATTCCTGAAGCCTGAAATCACCACTTAATTTATGTGCTCAGGGTTTTATTTTCTCTCACTTCTTGTCCATTTTGTCTCACGTTTCCCACCTCCTCTGCTTTTTGGTCATGCCACCCCGCAGAGACATTACATTCAAAGACGGAGGGTATTTAGGGTCTCTCTCAAGTCAGAAGCTACCTGAGAAGTATCAGGTCAGGACATTTTCTAAATAACATAACATACAGTCGTGCTACAATTTTATTCAGTGCTGTTTTAATGCTATTTTTAATAATACATTTTATCTTTCAGAAATCATTATGTAGTTTGTAGATGAGAAATATGTGTGGCAACTTTTAGGAGAATGAAAAAAATGACCCTTTTTATGAGCTTCAGGGAGCATTTAGGAAAATTTGTGAAAATAGTGGCAATTCAAGAGAGAACACAGATGGATAAAATTAAATAAAGAAGAATTTTTGGTAAAAGTTGTGTTAAGACAACCAAAATGAAAACAGTGCAGCAATTTAACACCTGGGTTGGTTCCAAGCAACAGGGCTCTCAAGTGCAGCAGCCTTCCTGACCGTGCGGGAACGCCTGACCCCAGGGGCTGCCATGCGGACCCGCCACACGCCTGCTCTCTGCGCCCCCCACCCCACCTCGTGTCTGCCTGTCCCTCTCTCTCGCTCCGTTGAGAGCTCTCTGTCCTTCTCTCGCTCACCGGACTTCTCTGTCATAAACTGATATCACGTCTCTTACCTTCCCACTGAGTCCCTAGGACTGAGCTCAGGACACCTTGTCTACCAGGTGGCAGCAGAACACGGTTGGTTTAAAAAGAAAGTGAACGAATTGCTTTATTCTGTGGCAGGACGGCTTGACCCCACTGCACTGCGCTGCGCGAAGCGGACACGACCAGGTGGTACAGCTTCTGCTGGAGCGGGGCGCCCCCTTGCTGGCGAGGACCAAGGTGAGTCACAGGACTAGGGCGGGACCAGGTGAGTCACAGGACTGGGGCGGGACCAAAGAGCTGTTGAAGCCACTCTCCTGTGATCTCTGTTCTTCTTGAAGTATTTCCTAGTGACTCAGTATCCGTGTGCTGGAATGCGTAACATGTATCAGCATTTTCAGAGTATTTAAGATGGGCAGATACGTACATTAAGATGTAGTGAGTATATGCCTCACGCTCTTTCCACGTTTTACCTGCTATTCTTACTGCAGATGGAGGTGTAACTATTACTGTGTTATATGTCAGTGGGAGTATTACACACAAATGAGAATAACTTAACGTTCTCTGAGTCTATGCTTTTGTGATACTCTGAGATGGCTGTGAATTACATGTAAATTATCTTCTAACGCAGCACAATGAGCAATCCAACATCAATCCTCTAGCTCTCCAATTTGTCTCTTAGGCAATCTATTGGGTTGTCAGAAAAGTCATGACGCATTTTTGCAACGAAAAACATAGAAAAAATATGTCATGACTTTTCTGACAACCCGATAATGGAAAGGATTACTCACCAATGGGGTGGGTGGGTTGTAACTGGGATTAGTGGGTGACGTGGAGAGCACAAGCTAGCCCAGGCCGTCCACCGAGGACATTCACCAAGCTTCCTTTTTCTATGCACAGCAGCACGTCTAGCCTCTTGGCCTCATCTCCGGTGTGTTCAGCCATGGGGAAAACTCATCCGTATAAATAAAAACTGGAGATGAGCCGATTTGTTGGAGGCTTGCACTATAAAAATGTAGTGTTAAAGGTTTATTACTGCACATTTCCCCATTGTCCAGCCTTACTTGGGGTTACCAGACACTACCATGAGACACAAGTTGAGAACAATCGCCCAGCTGTTTAATGGCTATGCACCAACCCCCTGCATCCTTAAATACGACAAAGATTGGCACGAAGGACATTTCTTACCCCTCGCCCCCCCGATCCCCACCCCTGCATAGGATTGGTTTCCACTGATGCTCTTACTAGGGCACGCTGGGAAGTCAGGCAGCCAACATAAGCAGGTAGTTTTCAATTTATACTACATTTTAATGGACTACTTAATTGAAATTATTTGGAGCACACACCAGCCCACACATTTGACACGTGTGGAGAATGAACTCAGTCTTTAAAGATGCGCACCCCAGGCCACGAAAGGCTGTCCTCAGATCAGAAGCATATGGAGAGAGAAATCATTTTCGTTCTTTTCATCCTCACACCTGCCTGCAAGCGCTATGGAGACCTGCCTTTAAAATGCCGTGTTTGGGGATGGGCCAGGCCTTACAGATATCAGGGAAAGTTTTGCTGAGGAAACAGATTAAAATGGAAATGGAAATAAGAAAATTGCAGACCAGCCATGTTACTTACAACCAATAACAAGCCAATATCAAATTGAGGATAGGCAGGTGACACTGTTCTACAAATTATAAAATATAAAATTATAAAATAGTCCAGAGTTTCCCCGTAATTGTCATATCACTAATGAAGAACGTGGATTACCTAGATGGAAATTTTTTAATGGTGTTCTTGTAAAATCAAACATAAGTCACATGTAAGGATCCTGCATGCCACGTTGGTGACTGCATGACTCTGTTCCTTTACTCATTCATTCATTCATTCATTTACTTGTTAGGTCATTCATTCATGCACGCGTCTTGTAACTGTCACAGTGAGTAGCTTACACCGTGCCAGGCAGCGTTCTGGTCCCTCAGGGACTGTCAGGATGAAGACCACGCAGTCTGTATTTTTAAGAAGCTCCGCATTTAGTGGTTGAGATAGACAGGGAGACAAGTGCGTCAGTGGAGAGCTCTGCAGGGGAAGGCACTTGAAGAAGGAACCCCCCCCCCCCCCCGGGAGGCCGCAGGCCCCTACCGCCTGACAATCCCCCTTCCCTCCATAAACACACCCAGTTTTCAATTACCTATTATTCCTCCCACAAGCAAATATTCATCTGGCTAGTTTTTCACTCCCCCCTCATTCTTTGAAAAACCTAGCTCAGCAAAGTATGACTCTTCTCCAACGACCCCTATTCTGGTTTTGCGTGACTGTACTGACCTTGGCAAGAGCCGTGCTGGCCCGTCCAGTGGGCATCTCCGTTGGGTAGCGGTGCTCCCCCCACCTCCTCTCTGTCTGACCTCCACACACCCCTCCTACGCCTCAGCCAGAGTGGTGGCACTGCCGTCACCCTTCCCACGGCGCCAGCTCGCTCAGGGCGAGGTCGGAGCCCTGCTGTGACTGCAAGGCCTCTTCCTTCTCTGACCCCCTCAGGCTCCTGCCCTCAGCCGCCTTGTCCTCACTGTGACCCAGTGGGGCCGGTGGTCCCCACACGGCAGCCCGCACCTGCCTCTCCTCCACCTCCCATGGTCCCCAGGCTCGGCAGGACCAGAGCTCCCGCCTTCTGCATCTTTGTCCAGACTTGTCATCCCGGGGAGGCCACCACTGCCGGCCACCTGCCCCCCACACACCCCCTGGCTGTCTTGTGCTTGGGGTTTCCTCTTAGCGCTTAACACTGGGGGCCTTTAACACGCTCTGAATTTCAGTTCCTCCTCTTTGGAGTTGTCCGCTACCACCGAGAGTGTAACCTCCGAGAAGGGTCCCCGTCCTCGGGACTGGACGGGGCCTGAGTGGGCGCTCAGTCCTTGCTGGTGAAAACGAGTGAAGGATTCAATGGCGCAGATTTTATTTCCACGTCACCTTTATGTGGATAAAACAGCATTAAAGATGGAGAGAGACTGTCAGGGAGGCCGACCACACCCGTCCCAACCCCGCGAAGCCTGAACTCCCTATTTTGCCCTTGTATGCTCCCCCCCCCGCCCCCCGATGCATTAATTCCTTCTCATCGACTTACTCTTCTAAGTTCATTTTAGGAATTTCTAAATATAAAAGCAGTAATTATGAATAAAGAGTATTTCAAAAACAAAAACATACTAGTAATTTTAAAATCACACACACTGCTACGACCCACAAACTACCAAATGAGATTTTGATGGATTTGTTTTTGGCTGTCCCTCCCTCACTGTTGAAATCAACTTTCTTGTTGAGAATAGTGGGCCTTGGGCTTGTTCTGGCTTTTTATCCAGTTTCTGCCTTTTTGAATGTAACGACTGCCAAACTGGACACTTGGAACAGTTGTTTTCTAGTGACCATATTTGCATTGAGAAGACCACTCTCTTTAACGTGCAAAAATTTTAAAATTGAGTTTCTTACATATTTTCCCCTATAAGCTTATTTACTTTAAAAAATGAGTCTTAACCTAGACTGATAATTTTCAGTGAGTTACCTGCTCTTTTGTATTCGTGATGGTGACCTCCAAGAATTAAGGCTAAAGCTGTTTTGGGCAGCATCAGTGATGATAAATTCAGATTATCCTCAAAACGTAAAAGTTGGGAGTTCATTGATCCTGGTCCTCATGTGCCTCACGCTTTCCTGGCTCTTACCCGATGGCCTTCCCCAAGCCCAGTGCATGTGTCACGACAGACAGAAGCAACCGTGGGGTCAGTGCAGTGCAGGTCTAAGAGGTGATGGAAGTCCGTCTCCTCCTGACCCTGCACTTGCTCCTCCTCCATCTGCCTGCCCCTCTGTTTAGAAGTAAAGAGATCAATGCAGAGAGATGAACTGAATGTAGATTTCTGTGTATAAATTGGATACGAATAATATAAGCATCAGCTATCACTCGTGTTTGTATATCTGCTGTTGTCCCGATAATTGTGAGATCCATCTGATTTGCCACACCTACTGTGTAGTCATTCATGAAAGACATAGTCACTTGTGTTTTTGCCTAAGAATAACAGAATTATGAAATTAAAGTTTTCTTAGCTTCCCTCTCTACCCAACATAATCTGCTATATACTTAGATGTCAAATGGAAATAATGCCCCCCCCACCAACTGTGCCAGAGATCCTGAACTGAGTTTGCTGTTTCAGAGCCTGAAAGTAATGACTGAAACCAGAACTTGCTTTCGTTTTGTCTTGATGCACAGAATGGGCTGTCTCCGCTTCACATGGCCGCACAGGGGGACCACGTGGAGTGTGTGAAGCACCTGTTACAGCACAAGGCACCTGTCGATGACGTCACCCTGGACTACCTGACGGCCCTCCACGTCGCCGCACACTGTGGCCATTACCGTGTGACCAAACTCCTTCTGGACAAGAGAGCCAATCCGAACGCCAGAGCCCTGGTAAAGCCGGCCCAGCCCACGTTAGCGGAGTGCAGACTGGGACAGGCACACGCACCTGGCTGAGCGTGGGGCAGACACCACCACCATGCACAGTGCACAGCTACGGCAGTTCACTCTGCTCAGTGTGTCCCTCCCACGCGCCTGCCTGCATGCCCTCACAGTTTGTTGGTACATGACAGTGAGCAAGGGTAGATTTCAGAGAACAGCAAGGAACATGTCTACAACTAGTGAGTTGCAGATAGATAGGCAACCTCTGGAGCGGTAACAATTTTAAATGGAAAATACAAGTTGAAAAGTAGGGAGCTATAAAATAAGTTTTAGACACATCTAGATAGAGCCAAAAGAAAAGTATGAAAAAGTTACATTTTATTAATCTTTCTTAAAAAAAAAAAAAGGTGGTAAAGTGGTGTGTGGATCTGACTGTATCAGATAGTGTAAAATATAAGCTGGTGAAGAGTTCACTGGGGGAGTTTCCTTACTGACCTGCTTACCTAGCCATCGGCTAACAGCAAAGGGACGCGTCGTGCCTGACTGCCTCCGGAGACGTTTGATCCAGACCATTCCAGGAATTGCCCCTGAGAAGTCTGCAGGAGGCTGTCAGGCTGTCCTGGGAGCAGCTTCTGTGTCTCCCAAGGTCTAATGAAGAATAAGTTTTCCTTGCTTTGCTTATGTTCTAACCATGAGCACTGGGGAGGTTAGGCACGTACTAATTTATGCCTCTCATTTCTTAATTCTCAGGCAAACCTTTCTCCAGTACATTTACATGACTTATGTCAGTTAAATTAGTCTTCAGATAATATTGACGAGAGGATGTCATTACAATTATGAAATATCAAATCTTATTTTCAGTAGAAATTTTCCACCAGGATCAATTTATTCCTCATTGCCTGGGAAGCAAATATACTGTTAGGGTTATGTGCAATTATGTGAGGATATTTTTTTTCTCACAAGGAGGAAATGAGTCATTTTCAGTCGGATCGTGGTCAGTAAGCTTATACAGTATTGTATTCTAATAATTACAGATCTTTTTAGTGAGGCATATACGTGTGGCTCTTTCTGTGTGGCTAATTCCACAGCTCGTAAATGGGGACCGATGTAACAAACACTGAGGCATCAGTCATGGGGCTCAGTGAGACCCTGTGCTTCCCTAAGGATTGCTCGCGCAGAAAATGCAGCCCGATGCCCCACAGTCCCCATGGGACCTGAAAAATATTTAACTGGCAGAATAGATGTAATTATTCTACCTGTAGGGATCACTGTTCAAATACAAATATTATACTGAAATATAACACATAACTCGTAAGGATTAAGCACGGGGTTAACCAATTTTTATGTAATTTCCCCCAACTCCTACACATTAGCCTAGTTTGAAAAGTTTAAAAGTGCCTTAAAGACTTCTTCACATTCCTTTGCCTCTGACAGATACCTCCTTCCAGTTATTCCAGAAATTACCATACTTTCCTTGAAACTATTTAGGAATTTAATAATCATTTCTTTATAAAATATATTTGATGGACATATCTTATAAAAACTTATTAATATGAAAAATATAACATCAAGATATAAAATATTGTCAACATAATAATTTATGCTACTATCCAACTCCTTATAAAAATTTTTTAATACAAGATATATAACTTTTGAATATAAAAGATTATCACCATAAGTGACTCCTGCTAATTTGCAGCTCCTCCTCCCTGAAGAAAATGGTAGCAAGCTGAAACACTTATTGTAGCAGCAGTCACGTTCTTGGATTTTTGAAGTAAATGTGATGAATGGTTTTGATGCTCTGAGAAATGGCCGTTCATCAGAAAGCACATGCTTCTCTTCGAGTGTTGTTAAGCCGTTGCATCGCCTGACCAGTCAGTAGTTCAGACCTTCTCAAGGGTCACTGTCCCCTGTTGTCCCTTCCTTCTTTGAAGAGTAGGCCCGTGTCGTTTCCTTGGCTTTCCTTTCTCCGTGGCCAAACAGGACGACAGGCAGACTCAGCTCACGTAGGCAAGCTCACCTTTGGTTCCAAGGTCAGCGACGGCCGCGGTAGGGACGTAACACGCGACGTTGTGGTGTCAGCGCCTGCGCTGTGCCAGCATGGAGTGTGTGGCGACCGTGTCTGCATGCTGTCGACTAACTCCGTTGTCTCTCGCACAGAACGGTTTCACTCCCCTGCACATTGCCTGCAAGAAAAACCGCATCAAGGTCATGGAGCTGCTGGTGAAATATGGGGCTTCCATCCAGGCTATCACAGAGGTAGAAAACGCCCCTGTCACCGCACGGCCCTCGCTGGCTCTGTCCTCCGCACTCCCCGTGTGTGGGGAGGACCCGAGCCCCGTGCAGAGCAGTGAAACTGCTGTTGCTTTGTTCCGCAGTCTGGCCTCACGCCGATTCACGTGGCCGCCTTCATGGGCCACTTGAACATTGTTCTCCTGCTGCTGCAGAATGGCGCCTCTCCAGATGTCACTAACATTGTGAGTATGGCTGGGGTCCGAGGACCATGGGAGAGCGTGAGCAAACGTGTGTGTGCGCGCGCTAGGGCCGGCCGGGCTGTGAGCCAAGCCCCCGAGACAACGTGTTAGGGAGAAATTGCTAGAACTTTGCTGAGAGTGCCCGAGAGCGTAGGAGATGCGCTGGAGGGTCGGACGGAGGCTGTGGGCTGAACCCATCCAGCCTCCGGTGCAGGTGGGTGGAGGTGCCTCTTACACGCTGATTAAAGTGCGCTGAGACATGCTCCTTCACCTGAAGGGGAGGCTGGTTGGAGCGAACACACTCCAGGTGCGTCTGTGAGCTCACGCCAGCTGATGGGGGTTAAAGTGTCAAGTCTGTCATGTCCAATGATGACCCAGAGACAGACCAGTATTAGGCACTTTCTCTTGGTATCAGATTCTCCCTCTTTCAACAGCAGAGATTGTCCAGTGTCAACCCTTCTGCGAGTGTTAGTTTTGCTTTGGTTTTGTTGGCTAGAGGGGAGCCCTTTGTCACCATTGCAGCTCTGCCAGTAAGTCCCGGACACCCCAGGATTCTGCAGCCTAATCTAAATTAGGGTTCTTATTCGCAATTTCTTCACGTGTCTTTTATTTTCTTGGGGTCTGCCCCTCTAAACTCTGTCAGAGCACCGAGTACATACGAGCTCTCTCCTTGGACTAGAGCCTGCCCTGTGCGAGGCGCGGTTGTGGACTTGAAGCTCAGTGGGGCCACCAGAGTACTGAGGTTTCTCACACTCTGCGACAGAGATGACTGTCCCCAGATAAGCAGCAGTGCTTGCTATTAAAACGAATCTTATTTTCAAAACAATTGATTAACCATTGTCGCTAATTTTTGGACTCATTCCCTTTGAGTCGTGAGACAGGATGTTCAGGTTCACGTTTTGTACTCCCTCGCATTTCCCTGCATCTGACACACTGTTCCTGTGAAGTGTCTGCTGCCTGGACAAAATCCACGTGAAATAAATTTATCTGACTTGAAATATCATTTAATACTCCCTCTTCACAACTGGAGCATAAAACCATTAAAGAATTGAAATATAAAGTCTATGTTTAGAAATTTTCTGAATTATAGCTTATTAGTCCTAAGGTAATAATATTATATGCTAATCGCTACTCCATTAAGAAATTTCATAGCATGCCGATTCGAGTTTAGTTTCTAGTCACTTCTTAGGACTTTAAAAGCGATGACCGCCTCTCTTCCTAATTGAGACCTGTACCAACCAGCAGCTTCCAGCAAAGTCCTCTGTGGACTTTCCCAGCATGCTGTGTGCTCCATATTTGCATTCCAGTGCCTACAAGATCACGGAGCAATGGTGATGCCATGTCACATTATGTCATCATGTTATAACAACATGGACAAGTACTTCTATGGGATGCTTAATTGAAATCTCCTAAGGTAATCTTTCCGAGGGGAGACTTTTGCACAACCATCAAAGAAAACCCATATGAGAAGGTGGTGTGATTCTGAGGCCACTCTAAATTTGCTTCTTAACTGACCAGTTCCAAATCATGTGACAGTTTCAGATTTACTCCATGTTGAGGTCCTCTCCTCTGCAGAAAAATGCTATGGAGGCTACAGGTAGATTTTCCCATAACATAAATAAAACATTAACAAAAACGATAAAAATGTTGACATTTTTAGGTTCTGAAAGATTCTCAAATTTAGACATTGTTATGTGAAGCTTTGACTTCCGCCTCTGGGCACTATGGAGTCTTCATTTGTTCGATGTTCTCATCTGTCTGTTACATTCTCTCTTCCTTCAGCCCCCTCAAATCAAATGCTCGAGAGGCACCTGCCAGTGTAATCATCTCCTTGACCTGTTTCCTGGCTGGTTTCTGTTTGTTTTTATTTTGTTATGAGCTGTCTTTCAGGGAGCAACCCTACTGTCTGTCATGGCAATAGGGTTGCCAAGGAAAATACAGGACTGCCAGTTAAGTTTGAATTTCAGATAATGGCTTTTAATAGGTGTATGTCCCATGCATTCACTGAGACATACTAAAAGAATTGCTAGTCACTGGTCTGGAATTAGAGTTTCACTGGTCATGCTGTATTTTTATTTGTGTAATCGGGCACCCCTCCGTTTAGACGGATTCTGCTTTCTCTAGCGGGGGGTGCCTGTGGGCATGTGCGTTCTCAGAACCTGAGGCGAGAGCCCCGGCTCCTAAACTCCGCAGGCTCACGGAGGAACTGTGCGACACTGCCTGCCTGCTTGCTGCGTCAGAGCTGGTCCTCTCCTGACCCGCTCTGGGAGCCTTTGTGTGTTGCCTGAAACCGTGTTGCACTTTTGGATGCAGTGCTGTCTGTCGTGCTTTGATGCTTTCCAACTGATGCAGCCGAAGCAGAGCAGTGCAGCTGTCCGCAGCGTCCGCTTTCACAGCCGAGAGCGGCCGCGACGTTCGGTGCCCGCCTCGGTCATGAGCACGCCCGCTCTCTTGCCAGGCTTGCTTTTGTCTCCAAATTCCCTCCGAGTGTGCGGTGTACCAATAACTCAATCATGTGCCGACATTGTTACTACAAAGCTCCCCTTCCAGAAAGCTCACCAATGCATGTTCGAACCCAGAAGGCTGCACTGCCAGTCCTAACACATCCATAATCCACAGTGTTCGCTGACCCCCGTGGGAGCAGGGCACCAAGCACTTTGGGGCAGTACAGTGTGTGGTGTTCGCAAGATTTCTCTTTAAACAGCAAGTCAGTGGGTTCCTGGCTAAGTTCACACTCGTGGGATGTTTAACAATCCCCCCGATGCTCAGAGTTATTTAGCTTAAGGTGAGCAAAGCAGGAGGATTGAATAAGATGAGGTGTCCACGCCACGAAAGGAAAGTTACGGATCAGAACTATATACACTCTCTTTCATTTTCTGATATACACTTACATATAAACAAGGGTAACATAACATAAAAAGCTAAGGGCAATTCACAACAAAAGTCAGTTACCCCAGAGTCATTAAATGACAATCAAGCTAGACCACTGTTACAAGGGGAGAGGCCTATGTGTAGAACTTTCTATAAATGTGATGTTTAATAGTTTAGATTAGTTTTATATATAACGCATCGATTTCAAATGTGTAAACACCATAAAAATAACTTATTTTACGTATAAAATATGGGTATTGGAAATAGACGAATATAGGAAGCATTTTACATTTTGAAAACCCCTATTGACAAGTTTGGCTATAAAGTAAACATACAGTTCATCATTGAGTAGGTGCTCCTGAGGGCTCTGTGACTTAATTTCTGTTAAGGAAATTCATTTTTGTCTTTATTTCTACCAAAATTAGTAAAATTGCTGTACTTTTATAAGACCTAGAGATTGAGTAAAGATTTGGGGCTTTCTTTTTAATAGTTAGAAGGTCTTAGCTTCATCTGCTTAGAAGACAGGCTTTGGATGATATAGTAAACGAGTTAGAAGTCATGGTTGCCACACGTCCCAAAGTCTGAAGATAAATATTGCTATTCCAGCAATAAGTCATTTTATAAAACGACATATTCCAGATACATTTCCTTTACAAAAGTTAAATTATGTCATCGGAAAGTAAGGCCAAGGAGGATGAATGAGTCATTAGTAAAAGGACACAATTAGCGTACAGGTCAAGTTTAAGCTTTCAGAGGCAGCTCATTTGAAACAAACTCCTCATAACTTTAAAGGAATGCGGCCTGTGAATGCTGGGAAAAGCCTGAGGCTCTCCTTAAATCTTCCTGATTTAAGGGTTTCTTGTGCAAGGGATCAGAAGAAATTATTTCTTGGTATTTGTTGGAAGTACCCAGTTACCACAACCAACTTTAAGACCAGTTCAGTTTAATTTGGAGTGGCTTCCTTTAGTTGGCGGAAGTCGCCTTACTTTCTAGAAGGGTTCTGGTGACTAAGTCGTAACTTTTAGGCCAGGATCTTGTTTCTTTTTTAACTAAGATTCTTTGAATGAATGCACCTCTACCTTGTTCAGAACTACATGTGGTTTTAGAATATAATGATTCAAAAAAACCCCCAAAAGCCTGTTTTTTAGAGTGGGTAACTAACAGGCTTCCCACAGAGCGAGCGGCCTGAGGACGCGGAGCGGCTCCGCAGCCTTGCTGCCTCTCAGCGCGTCTCCAGTAACCGGCTCGCGACCTGAGCTCACTAATAACAAACGGGGCCCTCTGGGGCAGGTGGCACGTGTGAACTCTCGCTGCCTAGTGTCACAGCGCAAAGAGAACCAGGTGTGACCGAGTTCATCTCAGAAACAAATCTTGACTGTGACAAGGACACGAGCACGGTGCACGTGACGCGCCCGTCGCCCACGGGCTGGCTCGGTCTTCCGCGTCTAGAGTCTCATCACGGTGAGACCGAGCTGCCCTCACGCGGCCGAGGGCGACAGTGACAGCCTGAGGGCGAAGGGCAGAAGGTGCCGACGTGCCCCCAGACCTTGGAGGTTGTGCCGGCTTCACCCTCAAGGCGCCCTGGGTCAAGTGTGGGTGGGTGACCGGCTGGTCGCGCGTGGGCTGAGAGCAATAACCTGTTTGTTTCATGCGTGTGAAGATGGGGCGCTACCAGGCGGGCCGACGGCGCCCACAGGGGCGCGCGTGGGAGGCGCGCGGCGGGCACTCACTCTGCGCCCTTTGTGCCCGCAGCGCGGGGAGACGGCGCTGCACATGGCCGCCCGGGCGGGCCAGGCGGAGGTGGTGCGCTGCCTGCTGCGGAACGGGGCCCTCGTGGACGCCAGAGCCAGGGTAGGTGCCGCGCGGGGCCAGCCCTCGGGGCGGGGGGACGGCGCCGCGTGCGCGCCGGGGGAAGCCACCCCGATGTCGCCGCGTTACCGTGTGGGAAGATGTGCAGACTCGTGTGTAGGAAGCGCAGCACTGACGAACAGCGGAACAGGCTTTCACCCACGGAAGCGCGTTCCCATGTCTCCAATTCCATGAATTTATCGTCTTCCCTGTGCGGTGTCAGCGCGCGTGTCTCACCACGGACGCGTCTCCACCCGCAGGCCGCGCGGCCCTTAGAACAAGCTCTTCTCAGACGCGCCGTCCCCCGCGGCCCCGCGGGTCTCCTCTGTGACGCGCTGCTTGCTTCTCGCTCCGGTTTTCCGCATCCACGCGTCTTTCTTCACTTTTCCAAAATAGCAGAATTTGGGCCCTGGAGACTGTTTGACTGGATTTTCCTGTTTCTAATGGCTTTTAATTCCAACAGGCTGACTTTTCCTTCTTCTTCGTCTAATGCTCCTCTTCCTTCGTCTTTTTATTTAACTTCATGTCCCAATTGCCTTTTTCACTTTCTTCCTTTATACTGAATACACCAGTCGTTTTTATCAATACACTGTATCGTCTGTTCCGTTAACTTTGCACGAGCGTCTGTGGGATTCTTGTGGAATATTTCAACACTTTCTCTCCTTCGATGTCGGGTATACCTGAGCTAGAAGCTCGCTTCAGCTGGATTCTGCCGTCCTGACTCCGCGTTGGAACCTGTGTTGGAGCGAAAGCACCCGCCGGAGCCCTTCACATTCTCGTTTCATGCCCAGGTCTCCATCATGAAGCATGAAGACTGGACTTAAGAAACCTTAAAGCTCCTCCCAGACTGTCTTACCATCCTCTGACTGAATTTTTAGTCTTTTCCCCCAGAACCCAGTCACACATGGGCAGCCTCCGCACTACTTGGTGCTTTTAGATGTCACCACCTTTCTATCCACTGTACGCGGAGTGTCACTTGTGTTCTCTGGGAATCACCACCGCTATGTCCTGTTCTTATACACTTAGCACTTTTGTTATTCACCGTGTATTTTTCCCTGCCTCGGCATTTTTCCTTTTTTTCCATAAGGACTATTTTTAGAGCAGCTTGAGGTTCACAGAAAATTGAGAGGAAGGTACAGAGAGTCCCATACACCCCTTGCCCCCTCTCATGAACCACCTCCCGCTACCCACAACCCCCACCAGCTGGGGCATTTGTCACGACTGACAAGCCTACATGGATGTACATTGTCACCAGAGTCCACGGTTGACACGGACCTCGCTCTCGGTGTCGTCCCTTCTGTTTGGAAGACGCCCCCATTTTCCTTTGCCCCCTGTGATTGTTTCGCTCTGCTTTCCCAGTTCTCTGCCGTGGCTGGGATCAGCTTGCATGTGGGGCCGCACATCCCTCTTTGCAGTTCAGGGAACGGTTCCCCAAACACCCAAAGGACTGATGCCTCTCGGCATAGCTGGGAAGACTGTTTTCCAAATTTGCATGTTCTTCCCTTTGCCACTTCAGGTGGGGCTGTACCAGAAGTTGAAGAAAGTGGGCACGACAGCTTATGTCTTTTTTTTTTCCTGAATAAATGTTGTCGTTATTATTTTTTTATTATCTCCTCAATTGCTTCCTTACGTCTTAATGTTCTTCAAGACGAGCCTGCTGTTTTGTGATCAGAACCACATGTACTAACTGACACTGTAACCGAATGCTCGGCTACCCCCCGTCACACGTGGCCACTGCTCAGCTGTGGGTTAGGGGTCATCCCTGCCCCACTCTCCCCATCACTCATCAGAAACAGCTGACATGTGTCATCCTGTCAAGTCTGCAGGCGGAAGTCCAAGGGAGCGAACCCAGAAGGAGCAGGTTTCACAGCCGCGAGCCAAGGTCCCTGTTCTGTGACCGTGGCAGGGCTGTTGTCACCCATCCTTATCACGGTTAATTCTGCCCAGGCCTCTTTTCTCCTCTGTGTTTCAGAGAAAGTTGTGTCATCTAAAGTGTTGTCAGTCTCCTTACTTTTTGAGAGTCCCCTTGTCCTGTCAGTGGTCACCTTGTCCCTATTTCTGTAGAATGTATAGGCAGATGCCTGTCTCTAGCACCCAGGGCCTGAGTTCAAGTCGTGTTTTAGTAGCTGAGTGACGTTGGACAATCCCAGAGAACTCATTTAGTTCCTCCTAATCTCTCTACTGTGGAAGACGGTCTGGTAATACCTTTCACACCTTCCTTTCAGGTGTGTAGGAGGATAGGATCGAGTGCATCACACATGAAGAAGTTTATGTCTGGCAGATCTTTGTGAAGTTCCAGTTCTATTATTAAAATAATTGAATTGATTATTATTTTCACCTCTCGCTGCTCTGAAACTCATGTGGTGCTGCTTCTGGCTTCTAGCAGCTCCCTCTTGCTCCTCTTTTCTTATAACCAGGAGACGCTGCCTGTTCTGGACAGCCATCCCCCCTGCTCTGCGGGCCCGCCCCACTAGCCTCAGCCCGGGAAGCTCCCCCAGCGTCCTTCCCTGCTGCTGTCACTGTGATGCGCCCTCAGGCCAACTGTAAGACAGCCCGCCCCCTTGTCGGCTTGGTCACACACTGTCTCCTTTTTATAAGAGAATGGTTTGCTCTGGTTCTTTTAGCTCTGCAGTCATTTTCCTGACTACACCTGGACTCAGGTGATGTCCGAGCCTCCTCAGACATGTCGCACTGTCCCTTACGCCAGTGCCTGCTCTCTGTGTCTGTAAATGAAAGCACTCAGCTAATAGTTAACCCCATTTCCTTCTTGCCAGAGTTCCTTTTCATCTTTCAAGTCCTGGATGCAAGTCCCGGACCCATGTGCTGCGCCTCTTGGAACATTTTCACAGAGTACAATGTCTCCTTTATCCACAGTCTCTCCTTGAAGAAATGACCAGCTTTTGTGTCCCTGGCTTGCGTTTTCCCAGCATTCCTCATTCTTTTGTTCTTGATACGGTTCCCGGAATAAATACTGTCTCTTAGTGAAAGCTTTTGGATGAGAATCTAGGTCTCAGGGCTTCTGGATTAGATTTCTTTCTTATTCAGAACCATGAGTTGGTTTATATTTAAACATAAACGAGGGCTGGAGCCTAATGAGTTGAGAAATGTTTTGGTGTGCCTAGGAAACAATGGGCCAGTTCATGGAGGTACATGCTTTTGAAGAATCTAAGGAGGATTTTGTGACCACACAGATCACCTCTATGGCAAACACTAAAGAAGCCAGACTCAGGGTAGTAACCACTTCCGTGTGCGCAGGGGTTCCTGGAGATTCCCAGAAGCCCCCGTGCGACGTCCGTGTGAAGTGCTGTCTGTCTGGGCCTGCGCGTGGCGCTAACGCTGGACTTGACTTGACTTGTAGGAGGAGCAGACGCCCTTGCATATCACCTCTCGCCTGGGGAAGACGGAGATAGTCCAGCTGCTCCTACAACATATGGCCCATCCAGACGCGGCCACCACCAATGGGTACACGCCACTGCACATCTCTGCCCGGGAAGGCCGGGTGGACGTGGCGTCGGTCCTCTTGGAAGCAGGGGCCGCCCAGTCCTTAGCCACCAAGGTAAGGGGTGGCCTCGCGACAACACGGGCCAAGAGGGATCCTGAGTCAGAGTCTCTGGGCTCTGCGGCAGAGGCTGTCCCGGGGGAGACCTCGTTTAGGCCTCTGTCGCTCTCGCACTGATTATTTTAGATGGATTTTCTAAATGATAAGAGGGGATCGTGGGATTCCGTATCTCATTTTCAGCAGGCATGCTAGACTCGTTATCATTAGTGCCAGTGTGTTCCCAGTATAGCTTTCTAGTCCTTCAACTAGGACAGTTTCTATACAGCAGGGCCACCCTCCCTTCCCTTCGCACTATGAAATCAAGCCTGTATTCCCACGAGGAAAAAAAGAGTCCCAGATATACTGAGCTAGTATAACTAACGAGGAAGAGCAAATCGCATCAGAGTGGCAGTGCTGTCTGTATGCAAGGGTTTCGGTAGCTTCTAGAAGCTACTTCACGTCATCTTGCATTTTCTGACGCTGGTTCAGCCTTTGTCCCCTTCGTACACGCGGGTCCTTACCAGCTGAACTCTTGCCTGGTTAGTTGCAGTGTCTAAACAGCTGGCCTGGAGAATCCCACTTTATTAGTCGTTATTATCGTCCAACAAAGAAGACACACTATCCTGAATTTTCCTTACATTCAAATTTTCATGCTGGGAAAGAGTAGAATTTTTCTCCAGTTGATACATTCAATTTGGAGTTCCCTGTTTGGATGTGACTGAGACGAAAACATGAACACAGCGAATTGGAGCCGCGGAGCCTGGGCTAGTGCGGAAGGGTGGGGCTGAGACAAGCTGTTGGCAGGCAGAGTGCTTCCCCCAAGAACAGCAGTGGTTCGGATTTTTAGAGTTTCCATTTGCTCATGGTCAGCAGGCATCAGCGCTGCCTCTGGGGGAGGGAGTGTGTGGTGAGAACCGAATCTGCGTGTGTCCTCGGAGCCCTAGCACAGCCCTCCAGCCCCTGGCTCACCTGGTGCCTGTGGTGTAAAACCTCCGATGTACAAAAGTGGGAATTATCCAGGTGCTCAGATCTGAGGAGTTGAAAGCCAAGGGGACTTCAGGGAAGGAGCCCCCGTAGCGCGTCCCCAGAGGCGAGGAGTCACGGTGGGGGGGTGCTTTGCAATGGCAAGCCGCGTTTTTCGTGTTGCCCACCATTTAGCGTGCTGTTTCTGCAGAAAATACAAATCAACTGAATCATAATTCTAACATTTAAATGAAGAAATTTGGAATTCAGGTCTTATAAAAAGGAGAGAGAGAAGGTTGAAGAGAAGGCAGCTATTGTCTCCTCCTCATTCTAGAGGCAAGAAAAAGACAGGCTGCGTTTCCACACACAGATTGGAGCCATTTTCCTGGCACCAGGGGCTTTTATAAACCCCACCCACGAAGTCACGTTTCAGTCTGTAGAGTCGGTCCAGACAAACTCGGGGCGAATTCCATTGTTCTTCCTAGTCCCGTTTATGGCTCAGAGTCAGTGCTGCCAGCATTTCCCCCAACACGCGGTTCGCTGAACACGTCACTCACCCAGCGGGTTTGTGGGTGGCCGCACCCACTTCCCCCCCTGCCTTTCAGAAGGGGTTCACGCCTCTGCACGTGGCCGCCAAGTACGGGAGCCTGGACGTGGCGAAGCTGCTGCTGCAACGGCGCGCTGCCGCGGACGCCGCGGGGAAGGTACGCGCGCGACACCGCGGCTCGTGCGGGGACCCGGCCGGCCGTGTGCCCGTGGCCTGTGCCCGGGACGCCCACGGAACGGCCCCGGGCGCTTCTGTCTGGTCGCCGTGCTCGCGGGAGCTCGGCCGCCACTTTCGGGGCCGGCCGCGTCATGAAGGGCGGTGTTGGGTCCCCGGGGGCCGGGTCCCGCGGCTCCTTGCCCGCCTGCCCGCCTGACCTGGACTTGACCAGCGTCAGCTCCCACGCGTGCTCGTGGCTCCGGGGTGGGTGGCGCTCGCTCACGAGGGACCTGCGGCCCTTTGCAGAACGGCCTGACCCCGCTGCACGTGGCTGCGCATTACGACAACCAGAAGGTGGCGCTGCTGTTGCTGGAGAAGGGGGCTTCCCCCCACGCCACTGCCAAGGTGAGGCCGCGCGGTGTGCGCGCGCGGGGCCGTGGGCGCGCCCCCGGGGGAGCGAAACGTGCGGGGATGACTGCCCCCGGGGGACTGAAACGCGTGGGGATGACTGCCCCCGAGGGAGCGGAACGCGTGGGGATGACTGCCCCCCCCCCCGCGGTCACCCGTGGAGTGGCGCGCGGAGGACGTGCGACCAGCCAGGGGCGCGTCGGGGAGTCCCAGGCCCCGCGCTGTGCTCGCTGTTCCCACCCGTGCACCCGGCTCCGGGGCGCCAGGCACGGGCAGTACTGATGCGCTGGATGGAACACGCGTCCCTCGAGGGGACAGACTGTTGGGCGCAGGGGAAGGGGTGGGGCCGGGCACGGGGAAGGAAGCCGCCTGCGGGCGTGTAAGGCTCCGCCTCCAGAAGAGGAAGCTGCGCCTTCTGCCCGGCGTAGGAACGGGGTGCCGGGGACACAGGTTGCAAAGATTTGGGTGGTGTCGATGGGAACGTGTGGTGGGTAAGACTGGGTTTACCATAAACTCGTCTTTACCTCTTCTGTTGATGAGAGAGGCTTACTTGCCCCGTGGAGCCCTCTTAGGGTCACAGTATGTGTGCTGTTTCTGGTTTTAGAATGGCTACACGCCTTTACACATTGCTGCCAAGAAGAATCAGATGCAGATAGCGTCCACACTTCTGAACTACGGAGCAGAGACGAACAGTGTGACAAAGCAGGGAGTGACCCCACTCCACCTGGCCTCCCAGGAGGGGCACACGGATATGGTCACCCTGCTCCTGGATAAGGGTGCCGACATCCACATGTCAACCAAGGTATTCTGCGTTTGCCTCTCGTTTTAGTCAAGAGTCTTTTGGATGAATGTAAACAGAAACCAGTCAGAATCAGCTTGGGACAACAAGGGGGCGTGTATTAAAAGGAAAGAGCAGTGTCGTGTAGAGTTCAAGGACACACAGGGGTCAGCCTTCCGAGGGACCAGGACCGGCAGCAGGCGGGGAGCCAGGCTCACGGACTCGCTGAGTGGCAGCGTCTTTGGGTCCTGACTTGCCGTGCAGGTCACTTCTCTTACCTCTGTCTGTAGACCTGTTCTCCGACCACGTGTCCCGGGAGGCTCACCCTCTGCTCCCGAGGCAGCCCACCTTCAGCAGGCAGGTGGATGTCCGCAGGGCCTGCTGGGCCTCATTCCAGACCCCGGAAGAGAGGTGACTGTTCACCTGGGGTGTGGCCCAAACCACTGCTCCTGTTCCAGCCACAGCCCAAGCCGTTCTCCAGCCCGCTGGGCCTCAGACGCAGCTGCTGGGGGTGGGGAGGGCAGGGGACACAGTGAAACATGGATTCTGAGCCCTCTTCCGGCTGGCGTGAGTGGTGGAGTTCGGAGAATGAGGGTGGTTAATGAAGCACCTCAGGCACCTCACGTTTTCCAGACTGGCCTCTGCGGACACACAGACGCATAGAATTAACAGTCAGGCATGTAGGGGGAAGAGACTGTCACATGTAACTCTGTTTTGATTTTTATAAGAACGTGTGTGTGTGTGTCTGTCTTATACTCTACATACTCCCTGAAGCCAGCTGCAACTGTACGAGTATGTGATCGCAGGTGATCAGCAAAACCATAATACATTTCCCCATTGCTTTAGAAAAGCGTGTATGTTCTTTTCTAGTTTAAGACCAACTGAGATCAGTAATGTCCTGCTCTCCAAGTAGTCACTTGTCAGTAGAAAGTGTGATGGAGAAGGGACCCCGCATCCCGTATCCAGTCCCATGGCATAACATTTAAAGCCCAGGCCATGAAAGGAGCCTTTCTCTAGTTGGAGGATGCCCTTCTTGCTGTGGGCGGCCCTCACACGGTCAGAGGTCGGAGGATCTGCTGGTGTCTGGAGGTGGCCCACGGTGGAGGCTGTGAATGCTGGGGCTTGGCGTTCTGGGCCTCCCCTGACTGCAGGCGAGAGGCCTGCAAAGCCGCGCTCAGAGCTGACCTGCTCTTCGTGTGCTGGGGGAGGGGCCTGCCCCAGATGCAAGCAGGCTGCACAGTCAGCAGCAGCAGAGAGCACCGAGGGAGGGGAGACACTGGTGAGTGGGCCCTGTGGGGACAGGACGCCATGGTGCAGGGGACGCGAGCTGGAGTGCGAACTCCGAGGGCAGCAGCGCATGTCCACCGAGATGTTCAGGTGGCTGGGAAATCGGGTGAATGAAAGGTGCTCAGGAAACACCTGGGAGACACAGGTGACAGGTTTTAACAGTACTCTTTAAATTTCCATTTTCCTTCATGGAAGCTACGTGCCCTTGTGGTGAGGCTGCCAGATTGTGGCACTGACTGAATAAGTCACGGCCCTTGTCTATTCTTTTATCCTGTATTAGTTTCTAACTGTGCTTCAAGTGCATATTCAGCTAATTAAGGTAATTGCTGGATGTGTCCATGCCAAGCGTTTTACACAAAGCTGGCCAAATTACGATGCTGTACGTACATGTGCGTGATGAGGTAACTTTTTCTTTAGCATTTGCAGGAATCCAGAAAACTGTGTGTTACCTTTGGGTGCTGGAGAAACCATTCTGAACTCATTTTCTGTCACTGTACGTTTTATACATTGATGTGATATTTAGTTGCTGACAACGTAGGTTAGTGCTCTGCTTATAAGATAGAAGGAGGGCTTGGTCGGCCAAGTATTGACGTGAGTACGTGGACTTAGCAGGAGGCGCTGATGGGTTGAAATGACTTGTCTGAAAGCTCAGCAGCTGAGTGATTTTGAAGTCGGCACCCAGTATAGAAAACAGGATTTGTGAGTGTTGACTGACTTGGAGAATCCATCTCGGGTGGAAAGTCAGTCCCACGGAGGGTTTACCCTCGGTTTCTGCTGTGCTCTCTGGGGAGAGGCTGTGACTCCCAGCACTTTTCAGGACCTGGTGTTACGGTGATGCAGTGTGTTTTCTTCCTGAAATGCAGCCTTTGCCCCCATTTTCTCCGTAGAGCGGCCTCACCGCCTTACACCTCGCCGCCCAGGAAGACAAAGTGAATGTGGCTGACATTCTCACCAAGCATGGTGCTGACCGGGACGCCCACACGAAGGTAGTCTCATGATCTGGGTGATGCCCAGTGGCCCCGTAAGGCGCCCCAAGTCCAGGGCCCCCAAGAGTCCATTCCGAATCAGTCATTCCTGTCCTCCCAGGCCGACCCTGGGCCCCCTTTCCGCTGGGTCAAGTCCAGTGGGCAGCACGGACTCGGGCCTCTCCGGGCAGACCCAGCCGTGAGGCGGAAGCTGCCGCCTGACTCTTGCTCAGCCTGTCAAGAGGACGCGCTTGTCCCCACGCCCTGCGTGAAATGGCGTTCCTTTCTCTGTGCCGTGGCACCCTCAAGGCCACCCGAGCTCCATTTTCCACGCGTCTCCTCCAGAGTCTCCTACGACTCACCTGTCTTCCTTGTCTGCAGTCCTGTCATTTGTGCATCTCTTGGTCCTTGTCAGATTGAGTCACACACATCAGCTCGCCTCTCCTGGTGTTTAGTTCCCTGTTTTCTGGGTCTGTTCTGACCCTAATTTGTATCCACAGGACACACACAACCTGCTAAGTAACATTCGTATGACAGATGGGATTTGTCCCCACCCTGTGTCACCCCTCTGCCCTCGCGTATGAAGCGCTGAACTTGTCATCTACTTGTTTGTTGTTCTTTACAGCTTGGTTACACTCCTTTAATTGTGGCCTGTCACTATGGAAATGTGAAAATGGTCAACTTTCTTCTGAAGCAGGGAGCAAACGTCAACGCAAAAACCAAGGTAAATGCTTGTTCCGATTTCCCTTCTGTCAGCACAAAGGCTCAGCCACGCGGACGCTCCCCGGGCTCATGTGTGACACATGTGTTTCTTCTGAAGTCGCTGGAAGGGCGATGTAGTCTGTGGGCCGTTGGAGACTTTGGCTTCTGTAACCTGGGACAGCCATGCAGGCTGGCTTCAGAACTTCTGTGACAAAGTTAGAGAAGCCCTTTCTGCCGGCACAGTAGGCACGTTCCGGCCGAGTCCCTTGGTCTCAGGACCTTGGCCCCCGTCCCCCTCGGGGAGACACAGACAGGTGGCCGAGCCCGCGTGCCCTTCTTGTTTTAAAACTGACCGTCATTAAGAGCACGCTATGCGTCATATGTAGGTTATGTGTGACGTTAGGGATATTAAGTCATACGGTCCCTAAAGAATGTCATGGTCACATGCTGCCACCTGTGCTCGTTGAGTATTAACCACAGAATCAGAATGCAGGCCGCGCAGCTGCTCCGGCCGGCACTGACCTGCCGTGGGATTCGGTCCCGGGCCTGGGCTGCAGGACCCGGCCCATCGCCACTCATTCTCCTCCCGGACGTTTACTCCACGCTTGCTGCTTCCGGCCCCGTTCACCCTTTCCACTCGTTGCAGCCTCTACAGTGGGACCTGACCTGGGGTAACTGCCAGGGGACACCCCACAACTTCCCTGCAGCTCGTCCATTGATGCTTCACTTTCTGCCAGCTGATACCCCCATTTTGCCCATAGCACCCCGTCCTGAGGTGCTCTCCCCTTTACCTGTTTAACTCCTGTCCAGCCTGGAACATCACGCTCCAGGAAGCGCTCTCCAGCTCCTCGAACATTTTATGATTACTGTTCTATGACTAACAAGCGTGCCGTTTAAAATTCACTCATAAGACGTTTTTTTATTAGGAGCACATGGCTTTTTCGTCTCTTTGTGTTTTTGTTGGTGATGCATTGTAAAGGGTGACGCATGTTCTAATCCCCTCCTACTCACGCCTCAGGGAAGGGCCCCTCACCCTAAATAGTAGGAGAGTCACAAGCTGGGTACACAGTGTCATGTAACCTTTAAATTCATTTCTGTTTTCATTAAAAGCCCTTTTTTCCCCTTTTTCCTTTTGACCGCCTTTGCCCACTTCTCCCACCCGCCCCCCTCCGCCTTTGGCAACCACCGCTACTCTCACGCCTGCATGTGTGTGCGTGTTTATCACAATTTCTTCATTCGTCCGTTCACGGACACTTAGGTGGGTGCCAGGTCTCGACCACTGTGAATAATGCTGCAGTGAACATAGGGGTGCAGGGACCTTTTCGAGTTAGTGTTATTGTTTTCTTCGGATAAATACCCAGAAGGGGTTGCTGGGTCAGGTGGCAGCTCTGTCTTTAATCGTTTGAGGAGCCTCTGCACCACTTTGCAGTCCCACCATTCCTGTGACTCCGTCACGTTTGGAATATCACGTGGTCAAGCGCAGTGAGGTGACGGGGCGTGGGTCCTGGCTGGAGGTTCTCAGGGATAACGTGGGCTGATCCCATCTCACTGGTTTGCCTGGTGGTGTCCGAGGCCAGGTCTGCATGTAACGCCACGCTCCAGGGCGCTCAGCTAGTGTCACAGGGAGGAGAAATGCAGCTCCGAAGAGCCGTGTGGCTGCGCATGGGTGTCAGTCCTATGGCGGCAGCCCCCAGCTGCTGCCAGGACGTTGTGGGCACCCAGGAGCTTCCAGTCACCCTTCTAGATGCTACTGATGAGACACGTAAGAGGTTTGCAAGTCGGTCTCTATATCCTATCAAGGAGTAGAAACAAAATCACGTCTGGACATAAGCAAATAAAAAGTGAAGCTGGTTTATTAAATTATAAATAATAATATTAACGTGAGGTTCAGATTCTGCTCTGACTCTGGCAAGAACAGCTGCTGCCGGCTCTCCGAGCGGTTCTGAGCTCTCACGAAATTGGACTCTGAAAGTTCTAGTCTGAATTCTCAGGCGTCAGCACCATGTTTGCTGCGTCAGCTCACGCGCGTGGGCTGAGGACAGACATTCTTGTTGGAGTTCAGGTGTTCTCCTTAAAGGTAAGATGCAGCCAGGCACGCGGCTTAGCAGACCTTGAACACGCCGTCTGTCATGGTCTTTCTGTTAAGCGTCGATTGTCGGATAGTTGTAACATTTGGAAGCTCGCTGAGGTTTGGCCTGCATTCAGATGGACATTCAGTCGAGAGAAAAGTCTCATTTTAACTTTTCAGGTTTTTAAAAGTGAACTATGTAGATTTTACTTGCTTTTGGAAGTAAATATATTTTTTCATGTATCTTCAGTGGATAGACACATACCTCAGAGGATGTTCTTTTAAGAAATACTTCAGTTTTCTCAAATAGAATGACATTTTTGTAGAAGGAATTGTTTTCTTCCTCAAATCTCATGTGTAACCATAGTTACCAAAATTGATTTGTTGCTATGAAAATATAAACATAATTTTTGCCTTTACTATTCATACATTCATGACTGGCATAAAAATTTGGAGAAGTGAACTTGTCTTGTGGGACTATTAGTGGCTTAAAATTAGAATGAAACCCTGTAATGTCAGCTTGAGGCAGACTGATTTGATCAATTATGTGATAATTTGAAAAGAGGTTTTAGAACTTCAGCATGTAAGAGGACATTTTCTTTGTAAAATATGCTGTAAAAATTATAGAGCTCTTCAATGAGAAAGAAAAAAATGTTCGCTAGCATTTTCATGTAACTAAAGAAAAATTTCACGGACAACATATTTTATCCTTCACAAAACTTGAAATCTGGGCCACTTCCATTTTATAAACGAGAAAATTGAGGGCCCGAGGGGTTCGGGATGTGCTGGTAGTTGGGGGACAGTGGGCCTGGGGCCCCTCACAGGATGGGCTGACGACCGCAGGGAAGCTTCTAGCAAGCGTCGGTGGAAAAGCCAGGGAGGTGCTGCAGACCCCCCTGGAAAATCCACTCATGGGACTTTTCCTGGCCCAGGTGTCTCCTGAGGACTCATGTGGTCTGAGTTGGAGGGCAGGGATGTCCCCGTGGCATTGTGCTTTTTGCTGAGCACCTGGCTTGTGGTCAGTAGCCCTGGGAGCAAACTGACCTGGCTGGTCCTGAACTTGGCTGCAGAATGCTTGGGGACACGACGCAGAGGGAGCGCTTGCGGAGAAGGACGCTCAATTCCTTTACGCTCCCCCAGTGCCCACGCGGCCGGGCTCAGCAGAGGGTCCCTGTGTTGTCTGCATCCCCCGGGTTCTGGGGCTTCTTCCATGGCAGGGACACACACGCCTAGCAGAGCTGATGCTGGTCAGACCGACATGTGTCACACGTGTGGGCATGTCCCCAGGATGGGATGCCACAGTGACAGCATGGAGGAGACGTGGAGCCCTGTGCCTGCAGCAGACACGTCAGTACATGGAGAAGCAAATAATACCCATGTGGGTCACGAGGTGGCAGTGATACTAGATGAAAGGGACATATATCCTTACAAGTATAAGGTGCGAAGGCCACTCGGAACTTATCAGGGCCCGGGACAGTTGGGTTTGAGATAGCTTCGTGAGGTTGGATCGGGGCTGAGGCAGGGAGATAGTAAGGCCACCTGTACACATCAGCTGTCACGTCTGCACATGACCCGAAACTGGGGAAATGCTTGATGATTTAGTCTGTCCATTCCCCCAGTATTTATGAAACACCCACTATGTACCAAGCACCCTCATTTTCAGGATAATAAAGATTAAAAGAGACAGTAGCTGTAAGGCTCAGTATCTGGCCAGGAAGTGACAGGGGTCCAAGCTGTGTGCCCGCAAGGGTCCTGTGCAGGTGACCAGTGTGGACACGGCTGTGCCAGGCCTCCCACCCACGGAAGTTGCTGTCGGCACACCCATGTCATGTCCAAGGGACCAGGACATGACGGTGCGATTGACAGGCGCCTCATCGTGAGCTGGTTGGTCTGGGGACCTGAGTGCAGGCTCCCGGGGGACTTTCTCCCTAATGGCCCTGATGAGTGCGACTCAGACGCACCCAGTAGAGGCTGACCTGTCTGTCCTTCCTTCTTCTCTGCACGTGTGTCCCCATCGGCCCCCAGAACGGCTACACGCCTTTGCACCAGGCTGCCCAGCAGGGGCACACACATGTCATCAACACCCTGCTGCAGCATGGGGCCCGGCCGGACGCCACCACCGCGGTAAGGGGCCTCGGCCCGCACCCCTGCCTCCCTCCCTGCCCCGCTGCTGCCCAAGCACAGCCCCCTGTGCTGTCACGTTCCCTTGAGTCAGCCCCACAAATGAGTGACGTCCCCAGTGTCCTGTCCTCACAGCCCTGCTCGGCTCCTGGGGGCTCAGCCTACGGCCTCTTTTATGGAGTCCATCCATCTCATGTCTGGTCTCCCTCCCTCCCACTGCGGCCTTCTATTTCCCAGCATCACTGTCTTTTCCAGAGATCCCTGCCTTGTCACCATGTGCCCGAAGCAGACGGCTTTGGTGTTGTCATTTTGCCTCTATTCATGTGTCAGGCTGTTTCTGGTATCTGAGTCCCACAGTCTTCCTGAAACAAGCCGTGTCTGGAAACCCAGCTGGGGGATGTGGCTGAGGGCTTGCCAGGGACTCGGGGACTTGGTCTCTAGGGAGAGGGGCTCTGGCTGCAGCCACCCCTAGAGGGGCTCTGGCTGCAGCCACCCCTCCAGCCGCAGTTTGCGAGGCTGCTGCTCAGAGCTCTGTGGGACGGGAGCCAGTGACAGGGCTGCAAGCAGTGCCATTAACCCTAGGGGCCAGGGCTGCGTGGGAGCCGGGCCGCGCGTGTTCAGAGGGAACCTCTGCCCAGCCAAGGCGACTGCCCCTGAGGCACAGCCCGGGGCCCTGGACGTGGAGCAGGTGCACTTGGCACTTGCTGGGCTTTGGAGTCGTGTCCTGAGCACAGCACGGTGTGTGGAGGCTGACAACCTAGGGGTTAAAGCGTCAGGTGCTTCTCCCTGGAAAGAGCAGGCGGATGCCACTTGTTGTGTTACCATGGTGACCTGGGCCCTAGTCTAGAGAAGTTGCAAAGACAGACTCAGATGTGACGGTGGGAACTAGTGGCTTTCCCAAGCTGTGCCTGGTGTTGGAGGGAGGGCTGGCTGGTGAGCTCGCCGGCTTCTGGGTGTTTATCGCTCTCTCTCTCACTCTCCTTCAGAACGGCAACACCGCCCTGGCCATCGCCAAGCGTCTGGGCTACATCTCCGTGGTCGACACCCTGAAGGTTGTGACCGAGGAGGTGACCACCACCACCACGGTGAGTAAGCGAGCCATCAGCTCCGGCTCTGGGTTTCAGCGTTCAGGCCACATCCTTTATCATTTACACACTGTTTTGGGCTTTTGCTTTTGACAACTCTGTTGTAGAACATACATTGAAGAGCACAGATGTCAGTGCCCTTGTACACAGTCAGGGCCTTCGCTTCCTTGGATCCCACTAAACCCGTGTACAATGTGTGAGTGGAGTTTTATAATACTTAGCTCTTTTTCCTGTGGCCGGCTGCTTTTTCTGCTCCTCTGCCCATTTGCTGTGGTCGGGTGTGACCCCACTGCCGGCAGAGCGCTCGGGCTCCGCGGGCGAGCTCGTCTCAGCGGAGGTGACGCTGGCCTCCCCGAGGCCCCCTGGCCTGCTGTGCTGCTGGCTGCTCCGGCGCTTTCTCAGAGAGACCGAGTCATCCTGACTTCCGCTCTGCTCTTGATGAGTTTTTCTCACTCAAAAAGAAAACTGGATGTGCTTAGTGGGGAACGCTGTATCTTGACAGAGTAGATATTAAAGCGCCAAGTTCTCCCTGTTTGGAATCAACTGGCCCCCTTAGAGCTGTTCTGAGCACGGGCCAGAGAACCTGGAGCGGGGGAGAGCGGGTGGTGACAGGTCCCGAGCTCCGAGCAGCTCCGTCGGGCGGGCGGCCAGGCGGCCCCCCGAGAGCGACGCGCGTTGCTGACGGCATTTGCTCGTGTGTTAGCTTCCTCCTGAAACACGGACTCGGGCTTCCGGCTCTCTCGTTGGTGTTGTAAAGGAAACGCAAGGACAGCAGAGCCTGGGCTGCTGTTCAGACACAGGCTCTGGGTGTGGCGGTGGACAGTGGCCCAGCCAGGGCTGGTCAGCCTGGGAGCACCGGGCTCTCGGGGGAGGTGACAGTGGGAGGGACAAGCATGGTCCCCGGGCTCAGAGCGCGTCCCTGGAGACGCGTGGCCAGATACGTGCAGTGCTCTCGGTTTCATGTGGAGTTTTCAATGGAGGGACCACGATTTATTAACGACGGCCAGACAGACGGAGTTTAGATGGGAGCGTCACACCCCATGTTTTCTCAAGCAGAATCTAAAACCTTGGGCCGGTGTGCCGCAGCATTTGTAAAGGTTTAAAGGATAGCTTCCTCAGTAGGTTCTGCCGGCGGAGCACGAGTCTGGTCACCACCTAGCGTAACACCTGAGTCGCTCTCTGTGGCTGCGTCTCAGTGGCTTTTTCTCACCACATGGTTTCTTATACCGGAGAATCTCCAAACTGGGCACCTACACCCACATGTCTTTAGGTGGCATCCTTGAAACCACATGCACGTCACAGGTGAGCGAAGCCTTAGCGACTGGCCACGCACCCCTGTGCTTAGAAGCCGCTTCCTGTCACCTTGGCTCCCACGTGTCCCTCTTACCCACTTACCACTGGGTGGCGAGCTCGCACCCCTTCTGGAGCCTCCTCCCCGCCCCTCGCTGACGCAGCCCCCCGTGTGTACGGGGTGTGAACCGTGTGCTGGGCTCTGTGCCGAAGAGTCTCAGTGGTGAAGACACGTGTGCCCACCAGCAGCTCCTGTGCGGTGGGGCTTAGGTTCTGAAAGAAAAGAAATCCTTTGTAACATCACCAAACCACAGAACGTGCATGCCCACGTTCAAAGACACCTCCGGCTCACAAATACCACTTGCCGTGAAGGACTTTCCGCAGATCCGTGTTTAAAACCACTGGCCCTCAGGGAATTCTCGGGTGTCCTGTCTGAAACCAGGCACTCGGTCAGGTCCGCACACCTAGCCCTGGAAGTCCGCTTAGCACGCTGGGCTCTCCTTCCCTGGTAACTTGTTCTCCGTGCTGCTGAGCTGAGTGGTGCTCTAGCGAATACGGGACGCAGCGGCCCTTCTGCCTCAGCTGGGATAAGAGAACACCATCGCCCGGTCTCGCGCCGGTGTACTGGCTCCGTGTCCGGATGTGCCAGCTTCACTGCCTTCCTCTCTTACACTGGGCTCTTCTCTTAGAATTGTGAGTTTATTGTTCTGCGAAATAGGTTAAGAATTGGAAAAATGAACTTATTCCTTTCTATTGTATGAGTCTTTTTTACACGTCCTCTGTTCCTTTTTTTAAACGGTGATCTCACCCAAAAGAAAATCTATTTAGGCATTCTGTGAGTTTTAGCTGTATTTTGCATAATTTTGTCCCATCGGTTTATTTGATGCTTTTGGAAAGAACAGAGTTGGTGATCGGGCCATTACAGGCATTCGAACAAGTCTGTGATATTTGTGTGGCAAACAAAGCTTAAAAACGTACACCCTGCCTACTGTATTTCGGTGGCTGTAGTGACAGATTTTACCCTTATTTGGAGAGATGTCGTGTTTTTCTAAAGTTCCTACAACAGTGCCAATCGGTGTATGTAATACGTTGTCAGTGCAGAAACTAGAGATACGAACTTGAGGCTCAACTGTCCTGAAGTGCTATGTAACCTTGTGAGATTCAGGTTTTATCGTTTCTTCACCGCTGTGGCACCCCGGGGCCTGACACGGCACCTGGCCTGCAGGGCACTCACCGTGTCTCTCGGGCACCTGAATGACCAAGTTCAGGGGCCCTTTATTTCGAATACTGAAATTACAAGAATAATAATTTATGGTCACTAATATTCACTGAGGACTAACGTGTGCCAAGCACTGTTCCTAGAGTCCTTATAAATATTATTCCATTTAATCTTCATAAGGATCTTATGAGCAGTATTATCCCCATTTTACAGATGAGGAAACCAAGGCACAGAGCAGTACAGACACTTGCCAAGGCCTCGTAGCTAATAAATGAGCAGGGTAGAATTTGAGCCCAGGCAGCCCGAGTCCGGAGCCTGGCCCCCCGCCACCCCATGTCAGGACCGGCTGGCAGTGGCTGTGGGCTCTGAGCGTGGTCAGCCGCAGTGTAACCCAGCCACACTCTGAGGACAACGGGTCCCCCCCGGGGGTCCCCTGGTCCCAGGGACGCGTCTTATTTTTGCCCAGTTTCCGTCTTTCATGTTGTTTACAGCTTCTTCCCAGCAGCTTGGTTTTCAGTACATTGCGTATGCTCGTTGCTTCTTTTTAAAGCTTTTCTGCAGACATTACTTGGTTCGTTTTGGGGAAGCCCTAGAAACATTAAGCTGCCCTCTCAATACAACTCATTATTAATGCCGTCGCTAAAGGATGTATTTTTCAAACAGGAACTCAAAGCGGTGACCTTCCCCAGAGCTCGGATCCTTTGTCTGCAGGAGGCACAAGGGGGTGTTCATGCGAGAGTGAGACAGGGCGCTCCCAGATGCACACGGACAGGACAGGCTGCTTCCGGTCCTCTGTTAGATGTCGTGCTTAACACCAGCGTGTTTTCTTTTCAGACTATCACTGAGAAACACAAGCTGAATGTTCCCGAGACGATGACCGAGGTCCTGGATGTTTCTGACGAAGAGGGTGAGACTTGTTCAGTCTTGTACGACGTCTGTCCTGATCTCACACAGGTGGGCTGTCCTGTGTTCATGCACTGAGCTGGCCTCTGGGCGTGGGTGACAGCGTCTTCACTGCAAGGTCACGTCTTCACCTTCACCTTCGCCTCAGGACAGGACTCGGGCCGCTTGGGAAGGAGGGTTGTGACGGGTGTGTCTGCAGCCGGCCTTGTCTTTCAGGCCTTACTGCTGACAAGGCTGGGAAGGGGGAAAAAACTGAAATTGGCCATCTGTTAAAACAGCTACCTGCAGTCACAGCTGTTGTTAACATGTTTTGATGATGTTACACCGCATTTTTATTACAATGCCTTAAAGTGAAAGGCCTTGCAGTGGACTCGATCAGTGCTGTACGCAGTCTCTGCTTGCTGATGGGTTCAGCGTGCAGAATACAGTCTCAACCCAGAGGCACATTAGAGAAGGTCAGAAATAGCACAGCAGGAAGCCGTAGAACTTCACCATGAGCGCTGGATTCTTTGGGTCCACTACCCCCGTGGTCGCTGGTAAATGTTATCCAAGCCGGTGCTGTCATGGTTCCGAGGAGCCCACTGCCTGAGGAGCACGGGGGCTCCTGGCTGGGGTGCTTCACGCTCCAGGCCCCACATCAGGGTTCTGGGCCCCCACCTCCACTTCAATGGGAATAGTTAACTTTTCTTGAGCAAAAAAAAATCTGCTGAAAGGTGGTGAAGGCAGCACATAAGCGTGCAGTCAGGCGTGCTCGGTCGGGACGTTACCGCCATAGAGGACGGTGCAGGCCCAGGACTAGCTGACCTCCTGAGGTACGGTGAGGGAATTACTCCAGGTTCTCTCAGATATGATCATTAGTAAGCACAGCTTTACGCTGAGACGTCTTTATTTGGAACCGATTTGTTAACTCACCTGTTGGTCAGCATTGAGTTGTGTCGGCTTTTCTAATAACTTACAAATGAGTGCTAGCTCCGTGTGTTGTCGTGAGGACAGGGTGTTGCCAAAGCGGTTCCAATATTGATGATGATAATTCTGTGTTCCATCCGAATACTTGCAGCTCGTTTTCAACATTCGCGCATGCGCCCCGTATTTATTCTGTTTTATGGGATCACCTTTCTCATTCTCACTTATGTGTTGAACAGCTTTTAGGCAGTTTGGTGACCACTGTCTTGATGGGGGAGCACTTAGCGATTCAGGTACCATCAGGGGAAGTTTTGGAGTGAAAGCTTTGCGTTGCTTTTGATTTTTCTTACCTGGATAGAAGCGACTTGCTTAATATTGAAACCTGGGCGCCTAATACTAACCATGTGTTTGGAAATGGCATGTGTCATGTGGCGCAGGTGCGCATATGTGCATCTGGGTGCGTGGATTTTACTAACTTGGGAGCATGAAGCCGTGACTTACTCTATTAATGGTTTTGCAACTACTACTGAGACATATTAACACACTTACATTATCTAATGAACATTATGTAAGTCTTTTTCCAAAAGGAACATTTCTTCTTAGAATGCAAATTTAGAGAAAACATAATTCTTTAGCAAGTCGACATTGAACTAGCGTGAACCTGCTGACAACTAAGCCTGCTTGAACTTAATGCACTTTATACATCGTTCTTGGGTAAGGTATGTTTTAGATGTGGTTCAAAACATGTTAAATTCGTAGTCATGGGGTAATGGGATCATTTCTAAGGTAGCGAGGAATGCAGACAAAGTAACCTTTAGACATTATTTAGGAGGAGCTTAGTGTCTGGGGAAAAGTGAGATAGTCCATCTAGTTGGAAGGTCCCACAGCACATGGAACCACTTTCAGCAAACCTATCACATGAAAAATGTAAATTTATAAGTCATATAACTTAGGTGGTGATTATTTCATTTAAAAATAGTTATTTATTCCCAAAATAGTTGTTAAAGAATTCCAACAGCCTCTGCGTTCAGTGTTCACTGGGCTTGTAGGAATTCCATTTACAGGAAGCAGCCCCTCGGACGTGCCCGCTGCAGCGTCAGATGTAGCTGTCGTGTCCGGTATACTTTTATTGAAACCGTTATATATTAAAAGTTATCAGTGATAAGAATTCTTGCTCTGAGAGGAATATTGGCTAATGATTGAGAAGACCTTTGTGGTGAGAGGCGCTTCCATTTTTTGAGATAACCAAAAATTAAATAACACATTTTTCCCAGGAAGAGCTTCCAGTTGAATACAAGTTAGGTATAGGATGTATCTGAGTGCCGTGAAGTACATTTTTAATGCAAAGAATTACTTAAAAGGAATTTGGCTGGTTGACATGTTGTGCAGTTAAAATGCTTTCCTGGGACCCGCTGTTGGTCATTCCTGGGGACAGAGTGTGGTCCCACATGCCTGGACGGCATTCGCCAGTGCCCGGGCTCCTTACATCCCATCTGTCATAGGAACCGTGTGTGTGAGTATCGCACCAGCGTCCAGGACGAGCGTGGACGTCCTTTAGCCTAACTGGCCGGAGTGCAGCCATCAGGTTTTCCGCGCATGAGTCCAGGCAGCAGAGAGTGAAAGGGCTGCTTTGTGTGCAAAGCTGTGTTGCTGGTACGCGGGACAGAGGTGAGCCCTGCCTGGGCAGGCCTCTGAGACACACGGCGAGACGACGGTGCCACCCAGCCGCTCTGCCTGCCTGCCCCACGCAGGCCCACGGACTTGCTGAGAGCACAGAGGTGGCGGGAGGTGCGGGCTTTAGGGGGTGGAGACGGGAGGTCCTGAGACAGGAAAGGCCAGAGTGGCCCAGCGGCCAGCTGGTCGCTCCGCTGGGCGGAGGCATCACAACGCGCTGGGCCTGTTGTGGGATGTGGAATTCTTAACTGAAAAGTCTGGGAAATGAGCAAAGATTTCAACTAATAATTGAAACAGTGAAGCCTGGTTTTTACAGAGACCAGACCAGCAGGGGTGTGCTGGGCGTGTGAGGGGAACATTGGAAAGAGGGCGATTTCTGAGGAACACAAGGCCTCCCTGAAACACCCACCTGCCAGGGCAGGGTCTCCTTTAAAACTGGTTTTTGTTCAGTTCATTCAAAGTCAAAAAAGGCAGTTCACCATTTCCCCTCTCCCTTGCCCCCAGCAGCCACCAGTCTGTTCTCTGTATCTGTGACCTTGGTGCGTTCTCTAATTTAGGTTCCACGTATCAGTGAGGTCATACGATACTTGTCATTCTCTGTCTGACTGACTTCACTCAGCACAGCACCACCCTCTAGGTTCATCCCTGTCACAGACGGTAGACTCGTCCTTTTTCGTGGCTGAGCAGCACGCAGCCGCGCGCACCTTCTGTAGGCCTCCGCCCACCGACGGACACCCGTGGCTTCCACGTCTCGGCCGTTGCAGCATCTATTCTTAGCACCAGAAAAGATAGGCTGTGGGTTTCCCCTCATGTTTTTTTCAGGTGACAAAAGGCACCTGGTGAGGTAGGGAGACCCCAGCAGAGATTTGGGCCAGAGAAGGCCAGCAGGGCAGTTTTCCACGGCAGAAATCACCTCTGGGCCTCCGGCTAACTTGTCGCGCCAGCAAGCATCTGTTTCATGGGTTTGCGCATGGGAGGGAGAGGAGCCGGTGTGAGATGAAGGGGGTTTGTGGGGGGCGGTTCCTGCATTTCACAAGAGACGTGGCGTCTTATGTGTGGGGTGAAGGGCCTGGCAGACCGGGGGCCTGGGGAGGTTTGGACCCCCACAAACCACCACAGACTCGGTGGCTCAGATTCATTCTTTTCGCAATTCTGGAGGCCAGAAGTCCACGGCAGGAGGCTGTGGGGAGGGGCCCTGTTTGTCCTCCAGCCACTGCGGTGCCACCCCCGTGCTTGCCTCGACCACACCTGCACTGGCCCCGTCTCCCAACGAGGCCGCGTCCTGAGGCTCCTGGGGGACATGCAGTTGGGGGGCGCCACTGAGCCCAGTACACTGTCCTAAAGCGACGCCTCCCTTCTCGCTCCGCGTTGGTCCTGAAAGTTGATCGGCAGCCTGTTCTCGGTGTCCGATGCAGTGTGACCCGCTGGGATGCTGCCCTGTTACGCTCTCCGTAGCGAGCGAACGCGCGTTAGGTTAAATGGTGTCAGCTACAAACGGCACAGGGAGCCGGATCGAGGTTCACAGCCCCGGTCGTTGTCCTCCTGGGGAAGCGACCGGCGTGTGGCGCGGAGGCCGCCTGTGAGCTGTGCCGCTTCGGCGCCCGCGCTCTGCTGCTTCCCACGGGCGTCTCGGCGGTGTCGGCGAGCACGCTGCCGTTTCCAGTCACGGCCGTGCTCGTGCCCGACACCACGTTCAGCGAGTAATTCTCTGTCTCCCTGATTGTTTCCAGGTGATGACACAATGACAGGAGACGGCGGGGAGTACCTCCGGCCTGAGGACCTGAAAGAGCTGGGCGACGACTCTCTGCCCAGCAGTCAGTTCCTGGACGGTATGAATTACCTGCGGTACAGTTTGGAGGGAGGACGCTCTGACAGGTAGGTGCCCACGGGAAGCTCACACTTGATATCGGCCAGGAGCGAGTGACACACTCGTTCACGATGGTAGAGAGAGAGGCAGACACAGTTGGCAACGCCTGACAGGCGCCTCACTCCTCTCAGCAGCCAGCAGCTGTCTCGCTGCATTCTCTGGCATCTTTATGCGCCCATTTTAAAGAACAGGAAACCGAGGCCCAGAGACATTCAGTCAAACAGCAGGAAGCAGAGGCACTCTGAATTAGAGCTCTCGCCTTTAAACAGCTGTCTTTAATCACCTCCCACTGTCTCCTCTAGACAGACGGGAAGGGCAGCCCTGCCTCATGGGCGCTGTAGCTAGCTGGCAGTTACACCCAGACACTTCTGGTCCCCGTGGGTTTCACTGTCAGTGCTGTCATTTCTGTGAGTAGAAGGGTTAAAAAGGAGCAAATTCAGAAGAACCAGGATAGAACCCTGCAAGAGCCTGGATCCAGAGAGTGGCCTGAGCCGGGTCTGAAGGAGCCTAGGTTTTAGGGACAAGCCTGGGTGTTTGTGTGACATTTTGAAATACCAGATCAGTGATATTTTGGGGTTCTGACTGACTAGCCCAACTGATGTTTGTTGTTTTCTGAGGCAAACTGAGTGAGAACATCCCATGGTCCCCCCTGAAAATGATGGTTGCCAAGTTAGGTGACACGGATGGTTGTCCGTGGCGTGTACCGTCTTTTGCTAGTCAGTAATCTCAGGCTTGTAGTTTTTATCTTGGCTGTAAGATAAGCTGCATTCAGCATGTTTGGAGTCTAAGAAATAAATACCCTAACAAGTAGTCAATTTTAAATGGATAATTAGCAAAAACAATTTTTTTTAAAAAAAGATTTTTATTGGGGAATTGGGGGATGGGAACAGCGCTGGGGAATTGGGGGAAGGGGAACAGACAAGTTGCTGTCGTTTTTTTGTTCTTCAGTCTAGTTGTGGAGGACGTTGCTTCACTGGCCCAGGTTGGCACCATCATTGCGCTCTTCCCGGGCGAGGCAGATCAGTTGCCGGCTTCTGGACGGCGGCTCACTGCGGCTGCTGGCCGCTCACGCTGGCTGCTGGCTACACACGGTAGCCCATGGCAACCCACTGCAGCAGGGGCTGCAGCCTACGCCGTCGCTGGCGACTCCCGGCAGCCCAGCTCCAGGTCGAGCTGTTGTTCAGCATCTTAGCTGTGGAGGGCAGTGTCACTGGCCCTCATATGTGGGATCCGAACCGGAGCCCTCTGGTGTCCCAAGCCAGTTCTTAACCAACGCGCCACTCGGCCGGCCCCAGCAAAAACAATTTTTCCTCGGACTTCCTTGAGCACGAAGGCCCTCTCCCTTCTTTATTTTTTAACGATTCAATGTGGTGCACATAGTAAGTGCCTTTCTGGGCTGGCCTTGTGTAGGTGCTGCAGGCACAGACGTGCCCAAGGTACCTTGGCTAAACTCATGGACGGGCTGGGAGAGAGACGGCCAGTGGGACTGCCCGGCAGCCTGGATCCCAAGGCTCTGGCTTCCTGGAACAGACGGGACCATGGGTGGTGATGGTGAGGAAGAGTGGGGGAGGCGGTTTAAGCCGTAATCAGATCCTGAGCCTGGGATCCTGGCGCATGTCAGGAGCAGGGTGGTGTGTGGTGCTGGGGTGCGAGTGTGAGGGAGGCGTCATGTCTGTGTCTGGGGGTCCCTCGACAGCGAGACAGAGCCAGGATTGGAGGAGAGTTGTCAAATGCTAGACCTGGCCATTTCGACAGTGTGAGAAGTCATTGCTGTGATGTGAGCTGATGTTAGAGGAAACTTGAACTATGACCTTGGTGCTGGTAGTCTTGGGGAGAATTTGAGGAATGAGAAGTTGGAGAACATGTCTCTGAGGTAAAACCAGCCCGATTTGGTGATGACCTTCATGGGCCCGGTGAAGAGGCAGAGGAGGTCGGAGGGACTCCTTGGCACCAGTGACCCCAGCGGGTGCCCGTGGGTCCGGGCACAGAAGGACCAGCCCCTGGGGGACTGGTGACCGAGCGGCTCAGTGTTTACGTATTGAATGTTGACGCACTGGTAGATTTGGACCTCACAATCCGAGACTCTTAAAAGACTTCAGATTCCAGTACAATGAAATGTCTGTGGCTTTGCACCAGTTCGCAGCAATCTGTGAATCGTCGTTACTGTTGGCCTTTCTGTCCGGCGTGGTTGTTTCTGTGAGTCAGTGCTTGGCCTGGTGCTTTCTCCTTCCGTCAAAGTACTTACGTTGAGAAAGATTTAGGACAATACTTCCTATAAAATGGGCTGATGGTTTGACGATTCTCCCCTCAGCACGCCAGCACCGGGATGTGAAACAAACAAGGCCTGCTGTGTCCTCCGGGTCCGCACTTGCGTTTCTAGGGCCCCAGATGTGGTCACGACACCTCGTTGCCATGGTTCTCTTGTTGGTTTTATTTATTTTCTATTTTGCTTAGACAATTTAGTATGTTACCTTTTTCAGTAACCATTTTCCCTTTTCACGATTTCTTTATTTGGTATGCTTTCAATAGCACCATGCCCAGGTAGGTTTATGTGGCATGAAAACATGACCTTCCCGGTCCATCCATTTCCTGCTCACTGCTCAGCGCGTGCGTGTGTGTGTGTGTGTGTGTGTGTGTGTGTGTGTGTGTGTTGGCAGGCATGCTTATATTCTAGAATTATGGATTTATTTTCAAATTAGGATTTCTGTGTATTAAATTGAATAACTCTTGCAGCTGGAAGGGAGAATATGTTACTAGAATGAATGTCTAGGACACACCCAGGCCTGACTTTGGCCGTCACAGCGCCCCCTGGTGGCTGTTGGGACATTAGCCTGGCTTCTCGGAAACACACCTCAGGAGCCTGGTATCTTTGGAGGTGGGGGGAAAGTTATTGTGATCCCTAAAGTGTACGTGGAAGCAGAGGAACGAAATCAGGTGTAATTCAACGTATGCTGAATAAAACCACAACCAACTTCCGATTAGTTGGATTGTGTGTTTAATTTATTTTGCTATTGCTTACAAATTTAGGATGCTATCCAAATTCAATTTAAAATACTAAATAGCAGTGAACGACAGAAACTTCTCCATATATGAGAACAAACACATTGAAACTTTTTCAGTGTTTATTTGTTTAGTAGGGTTTGAGAGCTCCATTGATTGAATGTCTAACAAATACTGCAGCTTGCTAAGGCAGTAATTATTACACTTTTTAGTGAAATTATAAACTTCGATGCAGCCTAATATGTGTCTATAATGCAGTGTATTGTAGTGAAAAAAGTGTAAATTTAAAACCATCACAATGCTTCCCGGCAAATCTTAGCTGAACTGTGAGTAAGAATTGACACACCTGTAGAAACACGTTACTGTAAATTTATTAACCAAAGAGTACAAACTCTTACTTAATGAAAACAATGGCCCATCTATTGCAAAATATTTAAACTTGTTTGTAATGTTTTAAATCAAGTGGACAGTTTCTGAGCCAGAGACTTGAATTATTATAGACTTTTGTGCTGGTCATTATTCCTTCAGAGAGAATAACTCTCTACTGTTGGACTGTTCTAACTTTATTTTATTTAAGTAGGTTCTATAACATAGAAAAAAGGGCAATGAGAAACTATAAACGCTGCTCAAATAACTAGCACTTTAGAAGGCAGTCAGTAGAATGGAGCTAGAATAAAATCACACAGGTGGAGACATTGAGGCATATGGTTCCAATGTAGTCGTTGCCCTGTCACCTTTTCTCTCTCTGCCTGTGTGCCCGAGTATCTGTCTCTGCACGTTAATCTCCTTTCTGTGGTCGTAAGTTACCTTGTCTGTTTCTTTCCTTTCTCTCTCGCTCCATTCCTTTCCCATTGGGGCTTTAGGACAGACAGCACCGATACCCTCTGCCTCTCCTGTTTCACAACCAGCTGGGAGACAGACCCAGAAGTTAGGTGGATGGATGTCAGGAATCCACGTTATTACTAGCGACACATGGATGGCAGAATGTGGCTTTACGTTGTCACCCAGATGAGCTCTTTGATACCCCCTTCCTGAAACACAGACACCCGCCCAGTCAGGGTGTGTCGCTCGGGGTGGCAGTGGAGACCTGGTTGCCACTTACAGTGGCAGCACCCCATCGCTAGGTCCTAGTTGAGGGACCGTTATTTACCGTCAGCTTGTTCCCGTCGCGCTAAACATCCATTCCCCTTTGAGACCCGTGTCCCCACTGTTCCCGCACTGCGTGTAAGGGCCGGTTCTACCTAGTGACAGCGTCTCCACTTGTGTTGGGGGCAGGCCCTTCTTGTCCTGTACCCCAGTGCCTCTCGCTGTTTGTACTGTTCATTTGCATACACCTGGCACTGACGGGTGTGCAGGCCCAATCAGGACTTGGGAAGCAGGGGTAGAGATTATAGAATTAACGATCGCAGCCCAGTGGGACGTGGTGGGGGCGCATGGATAGCCATATTAGTTCAAGACCGCCCTCTCCTGTTTCCTCCCCTTGGTCCAGTTCAAAACAAAACAAAGTAGAAGAGGGCTTACGAGCTGTTGATTTAGTGCTGTCTGGCACAGGACACACACAGCTGGGGCTTTGCTATCTTCATGGTTTAAAGCAGGAAAAAGAAAATTGTTCATTCATCTAATTGAGACAAGATTTGCTGAGATGAAAGACCCTTTCCCATAATAATTTTATTGCCGGCCCATCCTCAGATTCAGAGTCAGTCCTAGGTTTCTCTCAGCAGCGTTTTAGGAAGTGCACCCTCCAAATCCCCCTGCACAATGGTGGAAACAGCCCCGAGGGAAGCGGCCTCTGACCGCCGGGGCCGAACCCCGTGGCTGCTTTACCAGCCGCCCGGGACACCCGCCTTGGCTGGCTCAGCCCTCTGTCTCTTACAAGAGCCAGTGTGACGTAAAAGAGTGAATCCCCACGTACTGTTATGTTTCATGTTATAAACACGCAGGTGTACACACATAGGATCCGATAATCAACTCCTTAGATTCATGTTGCTGTACCTCTAGTGTTCAGGGTCTTTGGGGGCATAAAACAGCAGAACAGGAGGAAGAAGGCTGGAGGTGCCACAGATTATCCACCAGGGAGACCCTCAGAGACAGCTGCGGCTGGCTATACCGACAGCTCGTACAGACGACAGTGTGCAGCTTCCAGAATTGGGTATATTTGCAAAGTGAAAATAGTTTCTGCTAATAATGATGCTAACGTGACATTTAGTCCATAATTCTACAGCGCTCACGGCCGAGTCCCGACCAGCCGGAAGCCAGTGGGCTTTTGCTTCCGTCCGTGTCGTGTGAGCGTGCTTATCTCGTGATTCCCCCCATGGGCTTTGGGCTGATCCTCTGAATGGAGAGCTTCAATTCTTGGACTGACATGCATAAAATACAGCTTATTTGAGCTGTCGATCTATTTGTCATTTAGATGCGTGTAAAATTGATTAGGAAGGAATGAAATTGTATCTGTGCGGATGTCAAGTTTTGCCCATCACATTTGGGTGTATCATTCAGAACTTTGAAATTCAGATTTCACCAAAATGTAAAGCATTGATTATGAAGGCCTAGCGCCCTGCGGGAGCCTCGTTTGGTCAGTCATGGCGTTCACCCTGTGCTGGCAGCCGTGTTTGCTCTGGCCGGTGCTCACACATGGCTGCTGTGTGACGTCTCTTATCGCCATGGCAACCAGCATCCTGGCGCTTGGTCACCACACAGGACATGCGGCGCTGAGCGCTGTCCTCGGCTGTGGCCTCACTGGGGACACCAGAGACAAACAGGAGGGCCCATTTCCTCAGGAAGCGTGCGTGTGGCCGCGGGCCGTTTCCCTGTGCGCCTTCCAGGGGCGTCACCGACACTGAGTCAGTCACAGCTGGAGAGGGGACCGAGACCTGGCTTCCCTCCTATCCTCGCTGAGGGCTGGCTGTCTCCCCCGAGTGTTCTCCTCAGTCGCAGGGAGACAGCCATTGAACCCAGATTTAAGTGATCCGCCCTGGAATTGGTTCCTGTGTGTTGCCTGGACTGGCCGCTAGTGAGCCACAGCCGCAGGCTTCAAACCGCCTGGGAAGCAAATGAATCAGATTAGGAGGATCAGATTCTGCCTGTGGGTTCCCTGGTGCCCTTGCCACTGAGTGGCAGGAGGCATTCGAAAGGCATTAGGGCAGCGCCTGGACGGAGAGGCAGGGTGGCACCGGGACCGTGTCCCCTGCCGCCCCGCGGCTGTGCCCCTGGAAGCTGCATGGTGGCTAATAGCTCACTCTCTTCACTTTCCTGCTCGGCCCATCCTTCCATCCGCCCACCCCTCGTCGCTGTTGGCATGTGACCATGGCCTCCTGCCACCCCACCAGCCTCCGGTCCTTCAGTTCCGACAGGTCTCACCCGCTGGGCCACGGCTCCTATCTGAGGGACAGCGCTGTGATTGATGATGCTGTCCTCATCCCCAGTCACCAGGTACGTCACTGGGCCTTCACGTTTCTACTTTCTGGCGAGCCTTTGAACGTGACCTGATGCTGGAAAGGTCCGGAGAAAGTGTTTTAACCTAAACAAATAATCATCGTAACTCAATGACAGGTAGGATAAGAAATCTGTGGGTTTTCTAAAGCATGAAAAGCATTCACCTGACTTTTCCATGAGCAGAAGTTTTCTAAAATAAGATGCTGCTTATTCAGCTGTTTTGAATGCTTCTGTGGAGGTTATATAACAATCAATTCCTTTATAAAACCTCTATTATAGTGAGAAGTGTGGGGTACGGTGCATTTAAGGTGTGAGATAAAATGTGCAGGTTAAGTTACGTCTCTGAATATTTAGCATTGGTACCTATCAGGAAAGACATGGCATCTGTCACGGAGTGCTTTGATATTAGCTGTGACTTTTTCATTTGGACGCAGTGAACTCCATGAGCGCCTGCCCTCTTCCCAGACAGTCACACAAATGCGATCTTACAGCAATAATGCAGCTTAGATGGAAATGTGTTACGAAGGTGCACTTTAAGTGCCTCGGGCTTAGTTTTTAAGGGAAAGCTTTCCCAGGCGATACCACCTTTCTGTGGCACCATTTTTAGGGCTGATTGTATCCTCACTGAATTGAAGGAAAGCACTTTTACTGAACCCGGGTTCTTTGTGTTTAGGTGTCAGCTCTCGCCAAGGAGGCAGAAAGGAACTCTTACCGCCTCAGCTGGGGCACCGAGAACTTGGACAACGTGGCCCTTTCTTCCAGCCCTATTCACTCAGGGTGAGTACGTCAGTATCCAGTATCCAGGTCAAGGGTAAAAAGAGATGAGTGTGAAAATAACAGCTTTGTCCCGTGGCTGTAGCTGGTGCCTCGCTTGCAGGGAAGTGGCCTTGGTTTCAACCTGTAAATAACATGACTTCACCCACCCACCGTGGGCTCTGTCTGCACAGACAGGCCAGCAGAAAAGGTTGAATTCAGCATGGAAAAACTGACTGTGCTTTAAAATAACAAGTAGAATTGCATCAGACAGCTTGCCGCTTAACTAGCAGACAGATACCGTGGCCTCCGAAGTGTTCACATGTCTTATCTACCAACTGTAAAATAAAAATTATTAAAAAAAAAAGATGTCTAAAAAGGAGGGGCAGGATCATTTGCTTTCTAAAAAGTCCTGTTTATCGAGATTAACTGCCCTGTGACTAAAAGCCTTTTTTCACATATTAATGCATTTAAAATGAAGTTTACAGAAGTTTGAGTCCCACAGACATGGAGAGGAGTTTGTTCTCTGGAGTAGGGATTCCGAACAGGGGGACTCGAATCAGCACCTGCCCAGTCACCTTCTGGAGTCAGCAGATATGCTGCTACCTGAGATGCCTCTTATATTAACTCATTAAAAAGTAGGACTTGGAGTTAATAATTGTCAGCATAAAGATTTTCTGAAGGTATGAGAATTCAATGACATGGAATATAAATTTTAAGGAGTTTAAATTGTAACACTTCACAGTTGGGTTTTCCTTTTCATTTTAGTAGTTTCAGTCATATAGTAAGTTCATAATTATATATAAACTTTTGAAGTACTTTTCATTTAATCACTTTTTCTAAGCCCTACCCATATTTTATCTAACTAAATACAGTACTGTGAAGTTTAAATTATTATCCCAAACTCCTTATCCGTAATCCCCAGAGCTATCTTGAGTTGTGGGTCCTTTCTTGTTTTTCTGATTCTAAAACATTCCCCTTTCAGTAAAGCATTCAAGATATTATAGTTAAAGTTTTTGGACCTCTGGATCTACTCTCCTACTAAAGGCTCATAGAATATAAAATTAGTTATCTAGATATATAAAATAATCGTAATATTCTTTTCCTTGTTAAAAAAGTAAAAGCTAGTTCCTAACACAAGTGTTATTCAGGGGAATGAAAACCAAGTGAAACCTCACCCAAATTTAAATTTACTTACATATTTTTAAGTATAAAATGAGTTAATTGAAATCTGACAGCTATAAATTGTTCAAAAAGCATAGCATTCATTCTGCTAGTAAATTTCTGAGCGGTGATGAGAGGAAGGAAGGGGCCGGATGCAGAGTCTTGAAGGATAAGGGTCAGAACCCAGACACCATAGTAAGTGGGTGATGCCCACATCCAGCCTACAGAGGAAGAGATTATTTCAGGCAAAATGTGATTGACTGCCGGTAGCTGAATTTACCAGAGAATCAGAGTGTTGATGTCCAGGGGTTAAAGATTAGTCACGTATCAAGGTAAGATCTTTAAAATTTTGGTTTCTAATCAACCAGGTTTTCTATGAATTTCAAACATGATCACTGACTGTCAGTAAATCTCTGTCTATATGTTAGAGTCACCTGGGCTTTAAAATAACACCCGATGCCAGGCCCAACCCAGCCCAGTCACAGGCAGAGCCCGTGCTGTTGGGGCTGTGGCATCAGTGACTTCTACCAGTGCCTGTCGGCCAGATATGCTGTATGTTTTGCAGACACTGTTAGAAAGAGCGACTGTCCCGGGAGCTGTGACTGCAGGGCAGGCCGGGCTCATCGGCACGCCCCGGGTTCCCTCCAGTGCTCTTCTCTCTAGTTCACGCAGCACTCATGCCTCACACACGGCCCCACTCTACAAAGCACCAAGCCTGGGCCAGGCACCAAGGAAGACGTGGGCCGGCCGGCCCCGCCCTGAGGACGCACACCTGTGTGTGGTTATGTGCGGTCGGAAGACGGCCTTTGGGAGCGAGAAGTGGCGGCTGTTGTCGGAGGCAGATCGACACCGACCCGGGTCCTGGCCCCAACACTCAGGGTGTGACCTGGTCACGTGATGGGAAATACCAGAGTTTCAGGTTACTTATGTGGCAGATGAATGTGAAAGGGTGACATGCTTCTTAAATGATTGGCATTTTGCCTACAAAGAGTGAGCACTCAGCAGACTGCAGTGCTCAGGACTTGCATCCTCGCACATCTCCCAGACTGCCCTTGGACCCCTGGTCAGCCGAGCGGGGCGCAGTCTGGCTCATCTGCACCGCAGCACCGAGGTGGGCTCCCCAGTGTGCTGGTGACTCCCTGGTGTTTTCCCAGGTGCGTGTCATCTGGTGGTGTCTCTGCGGCAGGATTTGAACCAACAGTGCAGCCGATGGCTGTAGCAGGACGGGTGACTAGCCCGGGACACGCACCGGTCCTGACCGCCATGGCACGTGAGAGCCACCGAGCTGGGCGTGAATCACACAAATAACATGCATCACCTCACGTCATGTAGCTGCTGGCTCCTGGGCTTGTATTCGTTACACGCCAGGTTCCTGAGTAGCAGATTTACATATTTTTCAAGGAACTGAGTGAGTCCCTCTTTAATTAATTGGGTGAATTCTTATGCCACTTCAGATGCTGCCCAAAATGTCAGGAAAAAAAATGATTTTTGATAGCGAGGGCAATAAAGTTAGCTTTTGTATGTGCATGCCACTACTGCTGTGTACAAGCTCCTGTCAGATTCCACGAGGGATTGTAGGTAGGTAGCAATAGAAGACACAGCTCCTGCCCCCAGCTGGTAGCGCTGATCCCTTTCACCTGCGCTGTCCCCGGTGACTGAGGCCCAGGACCGCCGGGAACAGCTATGGGCGAGTCCATAGCCTGCCCGCCCGAGAGACGCAGCCGCGTCTGGCAAAAGAAAGGCCGATGGCGGTGTTTTTGTTCCTGTGCTTTAAGGGGGTGCACTGCTGGTCGGCAGTCTAACCAACAGTTATTTCTAGTGTCCCAGTCACGAGGGTACCAGCATCATCTTGGGCAAGAACTTGCATTTTACAGCTCTGCTCCATTTCATAAATGCACAATGAGTAGGCACATGGAAGGCACAGTTCCTGGTAATAACTAGTTCTGTGATTCATTTTAAAATCATTCCAAAGGTCTCTATTTTTATAGTCTTTTAATGAAAGCCATGTGCCTACAATTAAATGTCAGTTCTTCATGTCATGCTATATAAGATAGTATAGCAACTAGAAGTCCTAAAAAAGTGATCTTTTAGAGGCCTTTTTCATAAAAACATGTCAAAGACGATTTTGCTGTGACCCTAAAACCACTCTAAAAAAATAAAGTCTATTAAAAAACGTGAAGATATTAGCTCAAACGGGAAGCTGATCTTTGAAATGTAAGGAAGTCAAGGCCGTTTGCCATCTGACAACATTAATATTTACCTGATTACCTAGAGCAGTTAATTTGGTTATTTCTCTATTTCACACACCCTGGCTTTGTAAAGGTACGTGGAGGTACCGTATTTCCCCATGTATAAGACACACCTTAATTTTGGGGCCCGAAATTTGAAAAAAAAAGGTATTACATAAAGTTATTGAACTCAAGTTTTATTCATCATAAAACTCCTCATCACTGTCAAAACTCCCAACCATTAGCTTGTCCTCATCTATGACGAATCACAGTCTTCATAATATTGCCTCGTCCTCAGCGGGAAATGCAAGTATAAAAAATCTACAATCACTGTATAAGATGCACCCAGTTTTTAGACCCCAAATTTTTTGAAAAAGGGTGCGTCTTATACGTGGGGAAATACGGTACATTCTTTTGGATGAAGACAGTGATTTTATAAGTAGCAGAATAACTTGGGTTGGATTTCTGGTCCATGAAACACGTATCCTGTTGCGTATGAAACACAGGTGAAGCGCATGAAAATGCGAGGGGTTTGAGGGAGAGCAGGCGCAGGTAGAAAGGGGTGGAGGCCGGGGCTCCAGAGCCAGCTCAGGCCCCCGTGACCAGTGCGGGGGCCGCAGCCCAGAGCCGAGGGACGGTGCTGAAAAGCCCTGAGCTCGTCTGTCTGCAGTTTTTTGTGACGTAGGTAATTCACGGTACCCACTCTGCCTTGTAGTTTATGCTGCTGTTTGTTGCTGAAGCTGTTCTTTAAATTGTGCCTTTCCTGTTTGCATTTCTTTTCTAGTAACCCACAGGGTGTTATAATCATTTTGAAAGTATTTGGAGTATGAATGAAAAGCTGTGGGGACAAAACGGAGTCCATCAGATCAGACCGTAACTGTCATAGGGCCCGTAGGTGTTTGGTAGTTCCCTTGCACACTTGGGCTTTGTCCAGCACCCGCACGGCCCGAACTGAGCAAGGCTGCAGGTTGGTGCCCGGGGCTTCCCGACGCCCCAGGGCCCCGACCAGGGGCCCCCGTAGCAGCATCTGCACAGAGCTGGATCTCATTCACATTTCCGCCCGCTTCAGTGAATAGTGTGTTGCTGTATAAACGATAAACGGCAGCGGAGAGTCCCCTCTGACCTTTATGTCTCACTGTATCCATCCTTCTCTGTGCTAAAGTGTGTGTTCTGTTGCAGCCGCGCCTCTCCGTGTGTCGACCGCGACAGCAGCAGGTGAAACTTGCATCATTCCTTCTCTGAACATGTGCCCACTCCTCTCTGTCACCCTGCAGCATTCAGCCTCCTTGGGGTGCTTCAGTGTGAGCAGGCCTCACAGGGCAGGGGCTGCCCCCAGTCACAGCCATGGCCGGGAGCTAGGTGGGATTGTTCCCAAACTGATGCCCGCCTGCTGTGGGCCCTGCCTCGGTCACGGGTCGGCTTCTCTCGTGAGAAAAAGCGCAACAGAGAGCGGAAACAGCATTCCTAGCTGTTCCACAAATTGGCTGACCTATTTTAAAGTTATAGTATAGGTTATGATTTTGTGTGTCGCTTAGCAGGGTTTTTTTCTTAAACTACGTTCTAAGTGAACTGAAGGCTCAAAGTTTATTAATAGTGCATTTCCTTGTTAGGACTTCTTCACATGCACCCTAGTCAGCGCACCAAAAATACCCCTTATTCTGTGTTATTCCAATAGCTGTTTTGAAGGTTCTCATCACACTGCTGAGTACACTATTTTCATTATATAGTCACGCATCCTGATATTACAGATTGTCCACAGATAAGAACATTTTATATTTCCAACTTTGAAAATTTTATACCCATCCTTTCACTTCTGAAACACACATCAAATATTACGTTTCTATACATGAACATCGTGAATGATGAATAATTGTTCAGTGATTTTAACAAATTTGAGCCACTTCTTTTTGAAGCTATTTTCTGTCATTGTTTCAGTTTATGGAATTTGGGAGATTGGTGCAATTAAGGGGATTGTGGAGGAGAAAGCCCTGGCGTGGGGTTGTCCCAGGAACAGATCTGAGGGGGGTCCTCTTGCTGTGCGCGCGCAGATCACTGAAGCACCCCGATGCCTTCCCTCCCTGACTTTCACCCGTAACTAACTCTGAATGCTGCAGCCTCCCCCCCCCCGCCCTCACCCCGGTCCTGGATGAACTGAAAGTAAACCTAAGAATTGGTAACCTCGTGGGTGGAGGGTTTGTTCCGCGGAAGACTGGACGCGTTTTCTGCTGCACCTTGGAAGCACGGAGCTGTTCAGCTAATCAGATTGCGTCTTTGTAGGCAAATCATCTGCATAACGGTGGTGCATTGCTTGGGCTTTTATCCTTTTTAAATTGTGATAACATTCTCACAATTTAGAAAAATTCAGTGAGTTCCTAACTTGCATGCTTGCCAAATTCCGTCTGGAGTGAGATGCGCAGTTTCGGCCGACCGTGTTCCACGCCCGTTTGCACAGCCCTCAGTTGAGGTTCGTGCAGTGTGGTCTCCCACAGAGCCGCCGTGGCGTGTCAAACACGGCGCACAAACAACACGCATTTCTTGGAGTCAGAGCAGCATATCGCCCCAATAGGGGTGCTTCCAGATCATCTGAAATGGGACATTTCAGTAGATTTCCCTACCCAGTTAACTGTAAACGGTACGTAGAGTTTTAACACCAGAAGCCACTCTGGAGTTTAGTCAGTCAAAGTCTCATTTTAGGGTTGAGAAAACTGAAACTGAAAGGTTTGTAAGCGACCTACCTGCAGGCACAGCAGTAACTCCAGGCAGATACAGATGGGATGGCGATCAGAGAGAGACCTTGGCAAGGGCCTCTCCCTGCTGCACTGTCGTGTGCTCCGTGACAGTAGGATCTTTATGTCGTATTAAATAGTAAAGTTCACAAGCTGATGAAAGCTCCACCATCCTATTAACCTGCTTTAGCAAAGTTCCAGTTCACTGGAGGGATTCAGTAAATGCTCGTTTCTCCCGTTATTTTCTAGGAGTGACATTGTCCTGTAAATTTTAAGGCATTCAAAATATATAAAATCATATGGAGCAGGGAAAGGGAGATACGGGAATAAGCATTTTTGGATTCCGGGTGCTGTACCCACACGGGGTTGCACCCTCACTGTTGCGTCAGGTGTTAGGTGCTCCCCTCCCCGTTTACAGATGGGGCTTCATCTCGAAACTCGCCAGCCACAGAGCTGGCGTCACTCGCCGTCCCCTCTGTCCCCGCTCACGGCAGGCTTTTGTCTCAGTGCCTTTTACCTCGGTGTTTATGGGCATTCTCTTGTCCCATTTTCAATCTCCTGAAAATGTGAGAAAATCATATTTGTTTACTCAACTCCAGTATGTGAACTGATTCATCTGGTGACTCACACCTTCCAACCTTTCGCTTTTTCCTGTGGAACAAAAAAGCGAGTGGTCTCTTACAGTCTTCTTTTTGCTTGTGGAAATTGTTTCACAAATCACAGAACTATCGACTCATTCTACACCTATCCAAATAAGAACACCTTTGGATAATCCGACATGTTTAATGAAAATGCTCCATTGCATACCCGCTTTTATACTATAAACTATTGGGATTAACTGATTAGCATTTTGACTTTTTCCTAAAAGACTTTTCATCCGCCTTGAGATGATGAAAAGAGATCAATCATTATTGATCTCTTACTCCGTCTTATTTGAAGAAAAGACTTCTTGTAGCATACAGTTCTATGTATTCAGCTTTTTATTAGTTGTTCATTCTGCAGTTACATTATTTGAGTCTGATTTTTGCTGTTTTATGAGCTGAAATACCTGAGTAGTAATTTGAATGGGTTCTGACCAAAGAATTCAATTACCTTCTACTCTAGCCTTCTTCTCTCTTGATTAGACATAAATACGTACAACTTCTCACAACTTGATCTTTTCACTCTGCTGTTCATTCACTTATTCAAGAATTATTTGTCAACTATCTCCCTCCACATTGTGCCAGGGCTGGGGGAACACAGGAAGAAATAGAGCTAACGGGGTCGCTGCCGCTTTGGCCCCCAGATGGCGCCTATATGTGGTTATAACTCATTGTTCAGTCACCAGCAAAGTAAGTGATTCTGAGCCAGCCAAACCTTCATGTGACCTCTGGGTCTTAGAAGCTGCACATCTCGGCAGCAGCAGCAATGTCTTTCCTTTCTGCGACCTCAGTTCCTAGCAGGGCACCTGGCATTAGTAACAGGGTGACAAACGTTGCAGGAGCAGGAGTAAAGAGAACAAAAGAGGATTTCAAAAGGAGCGGTCAGTGACACAGAATCAGAGAAAGTAGTCAAACACGTACTCCGCTGTTGTTCCAGCCAAGGATGTTGCCACTTCAGTGAGAGAGCGCACTGTTAGCAGACGCCCCACGTGCTCTCTCCCTGGGGACATCACACAGGCCGTGAGCCGTCCCGGGGGCGGAGGACGGCAGCGGGACAGTGGGCGGCATGAGTGGCAGCTCCCCAGGGCCCTGCCGGGTACAGACGCAGCGAGAGTGCTACCGTTCAACAGACACGCTTTAATAATTCCTGATGAGTTTGAGCCCCGGTCTGGTCACCAGTGGTGATAGTAATCAAAAGATAGAGAAAGTCAGAAATACTGCCATGAGTTTGGAACAGCACTTTTTTCTAGTTTTCATAAAAACAACACATACAGTCAAATACTAATAATAAAATGGAAAACAAACCTGTATATTCATCTGGAAGTATTACCAGTACTTCCATTCTTTAGTACATTTAAAAACACAAACAGAAAAGGTTTTTTGAGGATTTTTACTTGAAGGCGAGTAATACGGAAAGCAGCCAACCATGATCCCTGTGTCTTGGTAAAGGCCGGAAACACCCACGTTCAGCACGGAGCTGGTGGCTCCTGCCCTCGGTTTCCCCGGACGAAGCCTTCACGGGCTGCCTGGCTGGCGCACGTGGGGTGGGGCGCCTCCTGGCTGGTCCCCGCTGCATGCCCTGCCCAGGCCGGCACTCGGCCCTGCCTCCCGCGTGGTGTGGACAGCAGGACTCCAGTAGGAGCCGCCTGCCGCGTTCTGGGTTCTGCTGGGAGGCGCTGGCTCTCTCCTTCACTTGTCGGAAATAGCAGAAAGGACGGGGGTCCTTGCCCATAACTCACCTTGATGAAATGCCTTTCGGAAGGTTAGCGGCTGTCCCGATGCATGCCTGGGTGTGGGGACCCGGTGGCAGTTTGTGCTGGTTAAGCCATATGACACCCACGACACCCTGTATGTCGCTTCCCTCTTTCCGTTTTCTCATAAAAACCAGCAAATGCAATGAAAATTGGGAAAGACAGTACTGTAATTAGTGGATCTCCTCTCTGCTCTGTCCTCTCCCCCCAACCCCATCCTTC